CACTCGGTACGCTTGTGATGGTAGATTGCAGGTCGAAGATATGGTGGCCGACTGTCTAACGAAGCCTTTGCCGTCTGAGAAATTTGTGAAGCATCGTGTAGCTATGAACGTGTGCAAGTCCTGAGCGCGTGGGAGTGTTGGAAAGTGGACACTCAGGCTTGACACTTCGGTAGTTTGGTTAGTTGCTTTAGTCCCAATACGACACCAGATCAGGATCGGCTGCGGCATGTTTATATACTGCTTGCGCCTTTATTATTTCTCTCTCTCCTTGTGTTACGATATTCCCTGTTTCCTTGCATATCATTTCACATGATTTCTCCTTTAGCCCCCACCATCGATCTCACCACCTCTCCGCATCTCAACCTTCCCCACCCACCCAACCCCCCACTCAATCGCACCCTTTCTCCGACGCCGGCGAAGGTAATGGCGGCTCACTGCATCTGTGCCGTCGGCGCTGGGACCTGGCGGACTCCGACTTCCTTAAGTACAAGTTCCTGAACGCCTTCGACCGGGCCATGTGCCACCTCGATAAGGTGTGTCAACCCCCGCACGCATACACAAACACACATGCTGAGTTTTTGTGTATGTATGTATGTGTGTGTGCACGAGCATCCTGAGACGTGGGGACAGGCGCCTGCTCTGCCAGCACTGGCCTGGCACTGGCTAGGCGGCCCCCTCTTCGCTTCTCTTTTGTCCGTTTCCCTGCCCCGGGCTGCACACGCCTCCCCCTCCTCCTCCCCCTCCACCCCCTCCTCGGGATGTTTTATGATTTTTGCCGCTATCCATCTAGTTTCTCTCCCGCTGCACCTCCGCGTGCGCCCCTCCCACCATACCACACCACCGCCACACCACTGCACTCTCGTCGCTACTCACTACCTCCCCCCCACCCCCCGGGTATCTGCTGCCTGCGCAGGCGTTCGGCTACGTTTGCGCCCCCAACACTTACATCAGCCGCAAGGATGAGGGCGACAAGTTGATCGTGTTCGAGCGGGGTGACCTCGTGTTCGTGTTCAACTTCCATCCCACGCAGTCCTTCATGGACTACCGGGTTGGCTGCCGCGAGGCGGGGCCGTACAAGGTGCGGGGGCGGGGCGGGGCGGGGGGAGGAGTGGTATGCCGAGAGGGGGGGGGGGCTTGAAAGGGTGGAGGGCGGGGCGCTGCTGCCGAGGTACTGCTGCTCCGCCACTCGCACACCCAACCCGGTTTCTCGGATTTACGGGGGTTACGGCGGGCGGGTCGAGGCACGTTTCCTTTGGGTGGGTGTGGTTTGCTGTCGATCTGGATCTGGATCTGGATCCGGTCATATCGGGTCATGTCTCGCGCTCTGCATGCGGTTTCCCCCCTGATTTATCTGGCCTTGGAGGTACGCGCTATCTATTTGGGGAGACGGCTTCGTCGTAGCTTCTCCTCCTGCCGTGTGTTCCTCTACTTGTGCAGCTCTGTTGCATCTCTGCATCTCGCGTCATCTGGTCGCTTACCTCCCTTTCCCGCGCCACGGGCCTCCTCCTCCCCCCCCCGAAACCTACTTCTTAAGCATCTTTATTACCGGGACATGTTCCCTTCCATCCCGCCTCCGTCCCACCTCCCTCCCTCGTTCTCCTCTCCCGCTCCTTCCCCCCCTCGTTCCGCTCCGCAGTTGGTCCTGTCCAGTGACGAAGAGGTGTTCGGCGGCTACCGCAACATCACCAAGGAGACCGACGCCACCTTCCAGACAACGCCCGGCAACTACGACAACCGCCCGCACTCCTTCCAGGTGTACGCGCCTGCCCGCACCTGCGCCGTGTACGCCCCGGCCGCCTGGGCGGATAAGGACGCCGACCGCAAGCCACACGGTATACCGGGTCTGGCCGTCAAAGACCTGGGTCCCTACTTTTCGAGGTGATTGTCTGCGGCGCTGTGAAAGGCCTTCAGGGCCACTCGGGTCGCAGCCGGTCCTACCCCACGTCGTGGTGGGCCCCTCGCCTCGCGTCATGAACCGGATTCGAGCCTCTTAACAGGTTTCGAGATTGGAGAACAAGGCTTGGCTGGCTCCCAAGCATGGGACGTGAGCTGAGAACGGCGCCACCGCAAAAGCCCACCAGGCGAGGCTACCACTAGGCGCTAGGAGCAGTGTCGCCTGCCCTGTGCCTGTGCCTGTCTTCGCTGTGGTGGATCCACTAGTCCGTAGTCCCTCGCCTGCCGGTCGATTTCCTCAGTAGGTATGTCCACTCCACCTAGGGGGATGCGGTGAAGGGTTGTTGTCCCAGCGGGGTCACAGCTCCTGCCACCCGCTCGCGTTGTGTGATGCCTGGCCAGAAGGACTGGCGTGGCTTCGTTTGGGACGCGGCAGACGAGAAGCCAGTTTGTTGTTCTTGTTGTTGTCATCCTTTGATGCTCCGACGTTAAGTTGGCGGCTTTAAGGCGAATGGTGATGATGATGATGATGATGGTGAAAGGTGCGGTGGTTGCGTTCGGGGCTCTCGGGGCCGGCCATTCAGACGGTGTTGCGGTACTTTGGGGCCACAATGGCGCAGAAAGTGGGCGCGGCCGCGGCGCGCCTCGTCTGTTTTGTTTGTTCTCTGTCTGCGGTGGAGGGTTGAGAGGAATGAAGGTAGTGTGGCACTTGTCGCAAGTGCCGCGAAGTGCTGCCCAAAGGACCGTTGTGGCTTTAGTCCCGCTGTGCTGCACCCAGGAGGCCGACGTGTGTGTGGGGTGGGGTGGGGTGGGGGTGTTACGACGTGTCACTGAAGTGCGCACTGAAGGGGGTAGGTCAGTGGGGGTGTTATGGGGCGAAGAAGGGCGAATGCTTGCGTCCGCTGGTCTGTTTGCCGCGGAGCGCTGAGATCAGCCCGTAAGGGTCTTTCGAGCGGCTGCTATAGGTCGGCTGAGCATTGCTGCCACGCAGCCACGCGTGGGCTTGGCTACACTCTGCCGAGCAAAACTTTTGAGAGGTTTTTGCCCCAGCTGTGAGGAATGTGCGTGAGCACACAGCGGGTTTGCTTACCTGGACTTGCGTGCTTTCTCTTTCCGTGTGGACACGTTTTAAGGACTCTTTTGACTACTTGCATCTGCCTTCGGAAGTGCGACAGTTTTGCCTTGAAAAGTGACAGCGGTGCGAAACGCTCACTGATGCAAAACCGGTTGGGTGGTCGGATGTACGGGGCGCTCTGCACATCCTCGTCGGGCTGCATCGGGCTTGTGAAAGCATGGCATGGCGTCGCGGCAGCCCTGCTGTGTTCGGATGTGATCGTGCCCTAAGTCTGTCGGACGGCGTCCGCCCATCCCGTTTTTATTGGACGTGTTTGGTTTCAGTTTTTTGATGTTGTTGTTGTTGTTGTTGTTGTTGTTGACCCGGCATTGCTGTCGTCGTGGTAGTGGTCGAGAGCAAGAGTCATCTCCGTGCGCTCATACCCACCGGGGATGGCGATGGTGATAAGAGTACCAACCGCCTGTTCGCCGAGCTGTAAGAATGTTAGCCGGAGAAGGGAGGGCTTGTCTTCTTTTCACAAAGCCCGGTTTGCGCTGCTGCCTTTGGCAGGTTTGCAATTTTGTCTTTGGTGTCTCAATAATCCCCGCAAGGAAGAGCTGAGACCCGTTTTTGGTACAGCGCGATGGTACGGTACAGGGCAAAGGGAGAGAAGTGGCGAGGACGTTTTTGCAAGTCCAGCGAAGTAGGCTTGAACAAATGCTTCATTGCAATTTAGCGCGCTTTGTTAAAATTCAAGCAGATACGGTCTTTGTGTTGTTTTCGGAGAAGATGATACGGGAAAAGATGGAGTATTCAAACCCCGGTCTGAGGAGAGCATAATTGTATTCCGTGAAGCACATGCGGAGGGGTAAGGGCGGTTTTTGCGATGATGACACATTCAAAATGCAAATTAAGTAGTGGAGATCTTCCTCTGCACCGGAGGGGGTGAAGGAACACATACACATACTTTTTACATGTGTGAAGGGTATATGGTTATACCCGTTCCCCTTAATGAACGTTGTATTGGCTTTGTTAATACCTCCACATTGAGTGATTACGAGCTACGATGCCAGCGTGTATAGTTATCTTTGTGTGCATCAACGTCAATTTCGCCATCAGCATCGTTATCATTCTCACTCGATTACAAATCCCGACTCGACGTAAGGCGTGGCATGATAACTGCACTTCAAACCATGAGTTGAGCAACCAACGCCGTAACGGATGCCAATCGTATTTTCAAGCTCCGTGGTCCCCATACCCCACTTTCCAAAACAGATGTAGAATCCTCAAGTATTTGTCCAACCTGCCAAACATCAGCCCACCTGCCTACGCCTATTAATAAGATCCCTATTACATGCGCACCCTCTAGCAACATCTATCCGCACGGGAAACCCAACTCCCTCCTTTCATCTCCCAACCTTCACAAGCAATCACACCATTGCTCTTTTAAGGCAGGGGGAAGGCTTAATTCCCTCACGCTGTATGAAACCCAACCCGTGCAAAGCGCCCTTTCTATCCCCTAACCCTAAGACACAACAGCCTAAGCCACAGACATCTCCCTTGCTCCCTGGACTCCGCGGGGTACCGGTACCTCCCCAACACGACATCTCGGTGTGCTGCCGCTGCTGCTGCACCCTCTCTCTCGCTCTCTCACTTCGCACTTGGACACCACCACCTCTCCGATCAGCCATACGCACCGCCACCCCCGGTGGCGGCAGAATGGCGCCAGTCCTTGCTAACCGCGCCGCTGGCCCCCTGACCCTGAACTCCATTCGACTTCGCCGCGGCCGCCGCCGCCGCTGCAGCCCCGCCGCGCATCAACGCAGCGAACCGCGCCGCTGCACGAGCCACGACATCCTCCCGAATCGCCGACTTGCGTGCCGTCTCCATCAGCATCGCCACCCGCGGCGGCAAGGAAACCTCTGCTGCTGTCCTGCTGCCGTCGCCGTCAGTCGTCAGAGCTGCTGCCGCTGCCCCCGTCCCTGCCGCTGCCACCACTCCCACCTCCCCGTCCCCATCGTTGTCACTGTGACCGGACGATTTCCTCTTTTTGCTGCTCCTCCCCTCCCTGTCAGAGGGTTCCGACCGATTCCTGGTGGCAGCAGCGCCGCCGCCGCCTCCGAAGATTGGCCCCAAACCTTCCGATACCCACAGTCGCCACGCGTAGGCCCCCATCCTACCGCCGGCTGCGGCTGCTCTATTCCTCCTGCCGGAAACGGTAGCAGGCGCTGCTGCTGCCGACGACGCGCGCGTCGCAGCCCGCAGCATACGCCGCGTGAGAATGCCGCCGCTGCGCCCGTCATCGGCGGCGGCGGCGGGGGAGGAGCCGTGGCTAGCAGCGGCGGCTCCGCCAGCGCCGCTGAAGCCCAGGAAGCCTTGTGCCGCTGCGACCCCGGCGATATCCCAGGGGTCGCCCATGGGCACACCGGGTAGCACCCATTCCGGATGTCGCTGCTGCTGCTGCCGCTGGTGGTTTGATGCCGTACGTGGAGCAGCGGTGGTGGCGGCGGCGGCGGCCGCAAGCCGCCGCGACTCCGCGGCGATGCTGAATTGAACTACTTGGCTTATCGTGCTTCGCGGCAAGGGTCGATGATGGAATGCGGGCCGGAGGGCAGGTAGAGCAGCGGCGGCACGGCTCAGCGGGATCGCGGCGCCGTACATGGCGGCCGCCGCTGGCATCGCCGGCGCGGCCAACGCTGCGGCGGCGGCAGCGGTGCCGAGGCCGGTGCCTGCCGCCACCGCCGCGGCAGCGATTCTTGGGTCTGCCGGTCGGACGATTAAAGTGGGGGACAGCAGGTCCAGCTGCGCTGCGGCGGCGGCGTCCAAAGCACCAGCGCCGACAGGAGAAATCCCCGCGCTACCCTCCCCGCTGCCGCCTGCAGGGGCATGTACCGCCGAGGCGTTGCGTCGGCGGTGAAGCGCGGAGCGTACGGCGTCATGCAGCGCGGATGCCAGATCCTCTGTGCTGCTCTGGGTCTGCAGCGCCGCCGCCGCCGCCGCCGCGGCCTCCGCCACGACCTGCTGCTGCGCGGCTGCAGGCAGCCAGTGCAGGCGACCCGTGGCGTGCAGCTGCAGGCCGGCCGACTGACCCACGGGTCCGCCGAAGATCTCACACTCCGGGTGTAGCTGCTGACGTAAGCAATGCAGAAACCATTCCCGACTGCCTAAATTGTACACCTTGTCGCCCGCACCAACACCGACTCCCACGCCGGCGACCGGCGGCGGCGGAGCAGCCTGAAGCCGCTCCTCAAGCAGGCTCTTCACGGGAAGCACGACGTGCGGGCTAAGCCGCCGCCGTTTACCAAGCTCCGAAACCATGTACGGCATGCAAATCGGGTGGTCCTGGGTCCGGCGGGGTGCGTACAAGGGGAAGGAAAAAGTCAAGAGAACTCCCCGCGGGGGGACGCGGGGGTGAGAGCGGTGGGGAAAGTACGGGATTTGTGTTTTCCAGTCGCGACACGCATTCAGACATGAAGCGACACAGCGGTCATACAGCCAAGCCCTGGGGCCCGGATCGCACGGTCCCATCGGGGTTGGCAGTTGGCCGCGACTTAGACCGGGGACTACTACTACAAAGGAGCTGATGTCCGTACCTGGACACCGTCCGCATCTGTGTCGTGCAGGCGTACGGCAGGGCCGCACAGCTCCAAGGTGGGACGAAGCCCCGCTGGACCGTCCCACGCCAGGGAGCCCCCCTCCTTCCCTCCAGCAGCAGTAGCAGCGGCACCGCCACCACTACCACCAGCAGTAGCAGCAGTGTCCGCAGCCGCCCTACTGGCCCCCAGGGGCGCTACCAGTGCGGCGATCTGCGCCACCACCACCATAATTAATGGCATCACTCCGTAACAGCATTAACAGCAGTACCAGTAGCAGCGGCAGTAGCGATACCAGCAACAACCTTAACACCAAACCAGCAGGACAAAACAAGGACTGCAAATCACTCCCAAACAGAAGCCTATTAGCTCATAGTAACTCCTACTCCTACTTTAGGTGCGGATTTTCGTTTGTTGTATTGCAGTAAGAAATCATTCCGCGGCTCCGGAGGCCGTGTGCTTACAACCCCGGGGCTGCTTCGCTTGTTGACCTCCTCAAGCACCAAGTAAGGAGGCCGCCGCGGCGTCACCTCCCCGCCCTCCTCGCGCTCACCCGCCCTCCGGTTCCACCCTACTGCACACCCACACCCACACCCACACCCACCGCTGGACAACTCCGCTGCAGCTCCCCATGCAGGATCTGGATCACCTCCTTAGCGCCCCGAGATCCGGATTCAGATTCAGGCCGGGGGACTGCTGCTGCTGCTGCTGTTGCGGCAGCTACGGCTTGAGCACCCGCGCCCGCGCCCGCGCCAGTTCCACTTCCACTTCCAGGACCGGAGCCGGAAGGCGGCAGCTGGCCGCCACCACCACCGCCACCACCACCACCACCGGCATCCCCTTCTATGTAAAGGTCGCCATCTCCAAAGACCACCCGGCGGGTGGCGGCAGGGGGGGGGACTGGTCCCTGGACGCCGAGGGCCCCATGTGCAGGGACGTGTACGGCAGCGGAGGGTGCGTTGTCCTGCTGACAGCCGCCGCCAGCGGGCCTGGCGTACGGATCGCCCAGCAACGCTGCCGTACCAGGATGCTTGGGTGCCTGTGCGCGCGGGTAAGTGCACATGTGTGGGCATGTGTACATGAAGGGGACGGGTGGAGGTTGTGTGAGAGGGGAGAGGGGGGGAGAGGGGGGGAGAGGGAGGGAGAAGGGGTCCTTTGTGAAGTGGGGCCTTCCAGTCCAGGATGATGGCATCGCGGGGGGATCCGTGGAGAGCCCCCTCACACGTCCTTGGGGGGGGGGGGGTGACAAAACACTGCGCACACACACCCAGTACAGATATACATACAGATTTTACATCCGTAGAATGCCTCCTACATACCGACGCGTATACACACACACATACACACCTATGCAGAAGTGCGGGGGAACCCAGGGGGATTATATTACTTACGATTCAAGGTGTAACACATACACCCCCCACACACACATAATTGACATGGATACCGCAAACCTGTGGGTCCCTCAGATCAATCGGCCACTCCAGGCTGCCCATCAAGCCCATAAGCATGTGGCTGACCGCCGCCGCCGCCGCCGCCGCCCGCGACGGCGGCGCCGAAGCCTGCTTTGCCGCCGCCGCCACCGCAATGGCCGCGACGGGATCGCCCGGCGGCGCCGCCGCCGCCAACTCCGGCGGATCGGCGGGAACCGCTAGGTGGGCGCTTGCGACCGCCGCCGCCGCGCGCTGCAGGTGCCGAAAGGCTAGCGGCATGTGCCAGTCGCCGAGCTGCTCGACATCCCAAACTCGCGGCCCGTTGCCGCCGCCACCGCCGCCACTGCCGCCAGCCACCCCCCAGACACCCGCCGCCCGCTGCAGATTCCGGTACTCGCCCTCCGCCATCACCATCGCCGCCGCGTCCGGCGGCGGAAGCAAGCATCTCCCTGCGAACATTATCTTCTTCGGAAGCCTGCGGATGAAGCTGCCGCCGTCACCGCCGCCGCCGCCAGCGACGGCGGCGGCGGCGCCGCCGCCCCCACCGTAAAGCTTCAGCATATTCAGTCCCGGCCAGGCCCAGGCTCCAGAGCTAATCACTGCCGCCATCAGCGGACCTGACGCCGACGGCGCGGCGGCCGGGTCACCGGTGGCTTCCGCCACCGCCGCCGTGCAGCTCGCCGCCGACGGCGGCGGCGGCGGCTGGTACGGCAGCGGCGGCAGGTGGGTCTCCAGTAAGGCCCGGGCGGCTCGTTGCATTAGCACCACGTACGCGTCGGCGGCCACTTCCCGACGACTGAACACCGGGGGGGAGGTAGCAGCAGCAGCAGCAGCAGCGGCAGTAGCACGACCGCCAGCACGGGCAGCGGCAGCACCCGTCGGCCTTGTCGCCTTGAGCACGCTGTCGTACACCTACGGAAAGCAATAAAGCAGTAATTAAAGGATACGACGAATATCACCACCACCACCCGCACAACGCGAAAACAGATCGCGCGGCGAGGCTGATGACGAACACTGTGAACATAGCGTATCGACACGTGTGGACTTGATACCCGCTGAGGAGCTTTCCCTCCCCCTCCTCCCCCTCCTCCTTCTCCTCCTCACACTCCAGCCCTACGACGTGCACAGCTCGTAACCGACCTCACCAGCCTCCACGCGGTCCGTCCGCGGTCAAAGCAAGCAAGCGGCTCAGGGCGGTGCGGTAAACCGCCGCCGTCGCCATGAACCAAAACAAGACCAAAAACGTAGCTGATAGCACTTTTCATAAACACAACACATACGCACATACAGTCGCACTTGCTGTTTGCACTGCAAATTTGCACATTGGGTCCCTCTTCTGCCTCCTTCGCCTTTCTCCCCTCGCCCTCCCCTCCCCTCGCCCCCCCACCCAACCACCTGTCGCAGTGTGGCGCTGCTCGGGCCCAGGCTGTCCAGAGCCGCCTCCACGAGCTGCCGCAGCCAGCCCCGGGGGCCGTCGGGCCGTCGGGCGCCGCAGGCCGCGCACCACGACGAGGAGGAGGAGGAGGAGGAGGAGGGGGGGTGGCCGCGGAGTGCTGAGACTGCGGCTGTGTCTGCTGCTGAGGAAGGGGAGGCTGAAGGGGAGGCGGCGGGTGAGGAGGAGGGTGGTGAGGAGGAAGAAGATGGTGAGGAAGAAGATGGTGAGGAGGAGGAGGAGGAGGACGGTGAAGAGGAGGAGGACGGTGAGGAGGAGGAGGACGGTGACGAGGAGGAGGACGGTGAAGAGGAGGAGGGTGGTGAGGAGGAGGAGGGTGGGGAGGCGGGATGAGGACCGTTCCGTCTGAAAGCTGCGGGGTGGGGGTTTGACGTCGCCGCCGCCGCCCCGTCCGTCCCGCCTCGGCCCCCACTGGCCGCGGGGTTGGTGGCTCCACAGCGGACGAGACAACAGCTGGTTGGGGGTTGGGGTGGGGGGGGGAGGAGGGGAGGGGGAAGGGGGGTTACTAGAAGGGGGGGGAGGGGATGAAGGAGTGGAGTTCTGAATTCCGCTCTGAGAGGTTCACAAATACATGGAGGATTTTGGGGTCGCGGGGGAGAAGGGACGGGGGCCAGCACGGACGGTGTTATCTGTTGTCTGAGAGTGTGTATGCATGTGTGTGTACTTCGGATATCGTCAAAGCGTGGGCATTTGGGCATTACGTCTTCGTGCTGTTGTGTTGTTAATATGACATGGACGTATGTGAACGAAAGCATAGGAAACGTCAGCAGTAGCAGCAGCATTTGCCCCCGGGCCCCCAGACGAACACAAACAGAGACACGCACATTCGTACACGCACGCACCTTCCCCCCCGCTGCCGAGCCCTCCTCCACACCAGCCCCCTGCATGTCCACACGGGCGGGGGGGGAGGCTCCAACAGCCACATAGCCGCCGCCGCCCGCTGACTGGGTGGCAGCAGACACGACGACGTCCCCGCCGCTGCCGCTGTCGCTGAGGGGTCCCCACCGCCGCCGCCGCCGCCGCCAGCTGCGCTCGCGAACTGCTCCTGCTGCTGTGGCGGGGCTCCCAATTCCGGGCATTTCAGGGCCGGTAGCGGCAATGGGAGTGACGCCGCCAGCGGTACGTCATCTGCGATGTACAGTGGCGGTGGGGATGGGAATGACAGTGCACGGTTTGGGAATACATACATACATACATACATACTTCAGCCACAGGTCAGGCACTACTGGTAGAGCACGCACCATTGCCCCCGGGAGATCCCGGGATCGAGACCTGTCAAGGTCGAAAATCCTTCCGATGATGGAAGGTAAAGTGCCCCTACTCGATGGACGATGGTGACCTGGGATAAAGATGGCTTGCGAGCTGACCAGGAATGGAGTTGGGCCGCTGTCGACCCGGCAGATTCCGTTGGATGCTGGTGGTGGGTGCGGAACCTGAGCGATCCACTGAGAAGTTGACTAGGGTGACTAGATGAGGGTGGCCCGAAATACCGGGGAAGGCAGGGTTTCGCAGGGTAGCTGCCACGGGCGAAGATACACCCCCCTGTTTCACACATCATACATACATACGTACGTACACGCATATCACCCTCACCTGGTATCCCGGGGGGTACCAGTCGATGCAGCTCACACAGCGGCCTCCCGGACTGCCACAGCACCCCGCCACCACCGGGTGCCGCATGGGTGTGTTCCCCGCCTCGCCGACCCGTGGGTCGCACCACCCACACCCTCAGCCCCGAGGCGGCCAGCTGTTCGGGAGTTAGGTGTCGGGGGACGGTGGCCGGCAGGTGGATGAGCTTCAGGGCGCCGCAGCCGGGGTGTGCGCAACGGAGCGTGTACTGCGAAGGTGAAGCCGTCGGGAGGGGGGGGGGGGAAGAGGAGGGGAGGTTGGAGGGAGCCGGAAGGAAAGACAGAAGGAAAGACAGAAGAGAAAACAATCTATCAGACCTGAACTAACCGCAGAAACGCAGCAGCAGATCTAAAAAGCCCTACAGCCCCCCCCCTCGCTACACACAACCCGATGAATTGGAAAGAAAGGGGAAGACACTCCCGCACATGCGGAAGGGGGGAAATACGGGAGGGGAAGTTAAGAAAAACGAAATTGTTGAGTAGCCCTAACTAACCAACTACCCAACCACAGCGCTAGCTAGCTAGCGGAAGGTGGGGAGCAAGCGGGGAAGCGCAGCCTCCACTTCAACCCTCTCCATATAGGTACACTGGACCTCTTTCCTGCCCCCCTTTTCCACCTCACCACCTCTTTTCCCGCTGCGTCCCTTTCGTCTTCCTCTTCCGCCCTCGGTGACACCCCCCCTCGGTGTCGCTGATGAAGAAATCAGAGAACGCGGCCCCCTCGCAACGCCTCCCCCTCTCGTACAGGCCCCGTCTACCTCCCTACCTCCCGATGTGCGAACAACCGCTGCTGCCGCCGCGTCAGCTGCTGCGGCGCACCCATCTGGGCGCCACCAGCACGTGTAGGGTCGGATGGTCCAGGCCCGTCGCGTACGATGTAATCGTACTGCTTCCGTACAGTACGGACATGCTCCCAGCTGCCGCACATGTGTGAGGGAGGGGGCAAAAGGGGCACCGGGAGTTTCAGCAGCAGCAGCTGCTAGAGCAGTAGCAGTAGCAGCACGAAGAACAGCAGAGCGGGGGGGAGGGTTGAAGAGCGATGTCTCACAGCTAGGATGAGTCTCGTTCGGGCCTGTTCCTAATATTTTCCATTTCCATCAAATACAAACATTTTATAGCACATAAAAACATACATACGCGTACAGATAGACAGGCAGACAGACAAACAAACACGCGGGCGGGTTATCCCAACCCGCCTCGCCTCGCCTCGCGTGGGGGCCAGGGCAAGCGTTACGAAATGCCCTTCCATAAGGCCCCCCAGGTTACCCTTCCTTCCTCCCCCCTCCCTCTTCCTTCCACCGCAACGGTGTTTTCCGCTGACCTACTGACTCGACGGCCCTAACAGACATCATCGGCAAAAATGGGGTATTTCTGTTTTTTTGGGGAATGGGTCTATTTCTGTCTTCCAGTACAATGGCCCGCGACCTGTTCTCATCATTGACCGCGGAAGGTCAATAGGTCGTCGAGCGCCTCGTCAGGCCGCATAACACCTTTCGTGTACGGCATATGATCCTATTTCTGCAAGCCGGCCAGCTTCGGGAACTCTATTTCTGGTTTCGGGAGTTTGGGTGTACGACCCGAAACTCCCGAAGCGTTTGCCGATGTCTGGGCCCTAACCGCCAGGAACACAACAGAACGACCTTCCACTGCTCCGTTCGCTCTCCTTTGCGGCGTACGGCATAAGCACGCTCGCTCGCTCACACATACACACATACAACCTGGTATGTTTTCATTACAAAACCCCATCGATGTATGTATGTATGTACGTATGTATGTATGTATGTATGTATGTATGTATGTATGTATGTATGTATGTATGTATGTCTAATACACTCACAAGTACTCGTCAAAGAATGCCGTCATGGCGGGCTCCAACCGAATATCATCGGCTGGATCCACGCCGTCGTCGCATTCCGGATCCGGAGCCGCCAGTAGCTCGTCCACCTTCCGTACTCTCACCGGCGGCCGGCCCTCCTCCTCCTGCTGTTGTTGCTGCTGCTGCTGCTGCCCACCCAGGCTCCCCACCACAGGGGGCGTCCAAGGAAATCGCCAGGCTGTTCCCCCTCCCTCGTCACCCTCGGCCTCCGCATGTTCCTCCTCCACGGCGACGCCGTCACTACTGCTGCTGCTACTGCTACTGCTGATAATACCGTCGCTGCTACTGCTACTGCCGCTGCTGCTACGCCCGCTGCGGTACAGCCTCACAGCCCGAGCCCGAGCAGCCTCCGCGGACACCAATCCGTCCCCCTCCCCACCCCCTCCCTGGACTCCCTCCCTGGACCTGGACCTGGATCTGACGTGTCGTCGGATGCAGAAGCCGTACTGCAAACTCGCTTCCACACACCCATCGACATCTCTTGGCTGTGAGGAGTTTCTAAGCCGCATTGCCGTACTGCCGTACGGCCAGCACCAGCCCCCGGCCGTGACGGCTCCAACGGGATCTGCTGCACTGCGCCAGAGATCACCGTCGCCGTTAAGTTGTGCCGTACGGCCTGGCGGCAGCGCAGCCGTCGCCGCCGCTGCGCTTAAGGCGGTGCCGGCGGTCGCCGCCACCGCTGGCAGCGGCGGTGGCGGCAGCGGCGCGCCTGCTGTGAGTGCTCTGCTCAACCTAATCTCCGTGTCCAGGTCATCGTCCAGATCTATCCAGGTGGCGAGGGGGTTGGGCCGCCGCTTCTTCACTAGCCGCGCGTGTCTGTATGCACGAAACAGCGAAAACAGCAGTATGCGTACGTACGTATGTATGTATGTGTGTGAGAGGGCGCGGGAGAGCCGAGAAGGGAGGGGCAGGGAGGTATACCCCGGGGTAGGGGTAGGGGTAGGGCAGAGGGGGGGGAGAGCCAGTCGCAGATAAAGACGTCGTAACCAGCTGTCCTCACACTCAATAGATAGAATGGACTGTCGAATATGAACTGTTCGTACCTTATTTGCTCGTCCTCCAAGGCGGCCAGGTAGCTTGTCGCCGCAAGCCTGAGCAGCAACAACGACAACGACAGCAACAGCAGCAGCATACAGTACGCCAGGATTGAGCGGCATGGCTAAGCGATTGCGACGCCTGCCGTGCAGTACGACTGATCAACAACGGCGTCAAGGCCACCGCCACCGCCGTAGTAACAGCAGCCACCACCGTCACCACCACCGCTGCCACAGCAGCACGAGGGATCGATCCCCACCTCCGGCTGCTGCGGCTGCTGCTGCTGTAGATCAGAACCCCCTCCTCTTTCCCCCCCCGCGCCCCCCTCCACCTCAAAACCCCCTCACCCCTCCTGATGGCATATCCCCCCATCACCCACCCACCCCACCCCACCCCTCCAGGCCCCCCTCATTACCTGGCATCCCACAACTCCCCGGCTCTCCACCGGTTGACCTCTGCAAAGGGCAGTTGCTGCTCCCCAGGCCGTAAGAACATCCTGATGGGGCGCTGCCCGTCAGCGGGGAGCCCAAGTTGACGACAAGATCGGGCCAGGAACTTGTGGTAAAGACTCGGCCAACGTTTCCTCCTGCTAAACAGCTTGCGCCGACCGCCGCGGGCCCCGCCGCCCGTGCCAGTACCGCCGCCGCGGCGTCCACGGCTCCCCACGGCGGCGGCGGCAGCGCGCGCCGCGGCTGCGGTATCGGCTGCGAGCTCCGCAGCAGTGTTGCCGCCGCCGCCGCCGCCGCCGCCGAGACGGCCGTCTTCATCGTCGGCGTCGTACGGATTGTCCGCACCACGCTGATCACGATCATCGTCGAGGTCCGGCCCCACATCCGCATCCGCATCCTCACCATCGTCATCAGATTCGACGGAGTCGTCACCGTCGTCGTCGTCGTCATCATCTTGTTCCGCAACGGCAGCCATAGCGGCTTCAGACACTCTCTTGCCGTCCAGATGCCTCTCTCCTCCGTGCAGATCTCCCTTCCGCCGGTCAGCGCGGTCGTACTTCGCCTTCCCGTCGCCGTCGCCTCCGCTGCCGGCGGCTCCTCCTTCCGCGTCGCCAGTAACCCTGCGAAGCAGGTCCGCCAAGTCGACCCCACCGACAACGCCGCCGCTGCCACCACCACCGCCTCGACTTCCTGTCCGCCCTTCGTTCTTCTTCTTCTTGTCGTTGGAGCCCGTGGTGCCGCTGCTGAACAAGTTGTTGCCACCGCCGCCGCCACCGCCGCCGCCGTCCACCTCTCCCTTCTCGTCTTCCTCTTCCTCTTCCTCGCCTCTGGCAACGTCACTGGCGGTGGGGGTGTCGGTTTCAACGTTGCCGTCGTCGCCACTACCGCCTCTACCACTCCCAACGCTGTCTTTATCGTCGTCGTCATCGTCATCATCGTCATCATTGCTATCGTCATCGTCGCTATCCTCATCACTTTCACTGCTCTGGATGGCACCATCACTACTTTCGCTGCTCTTGCCGCTGCCCTCAGTGCCCTCAGTGCTGCTGCTAGTACTGGTCTCACTACTATGTTGGGCCTTGACGGGTTCCTTCCAATCGGCGGCGGCGTCAAGGGACGGATCGCGGTCGTCGCTGCTGCTATCGCTGCTACTGCTACCGCCGTCACTGCTACTGCGGCTGCTGCGGTCACTGCTGCTTTTGTCGCTATCGCTGCCTCCGCGGCTACTGCTGCTAGTCCCACTACCGCTACTGCTGACATCCCTGTCCCCACTGCTACTGCTACTGTCACTGGGCCCCCTGCCGCCACCGCCACCGCCGTCACCGCTGCTCCTATCACCGTCACCGCTGCTACTACCCGTTGTCATGTCCGACATGCTCTCCAGCCCGTCGCTGCTACTCGCTGTGTCCTCGAGGTATATGGCCCTGTTGATTATGCTGCTGCGCCCTCCTACCTCCTTCCCCCTCCCTCCGTCCGCCTCCTTCAGCCACGCCCCCCGTCCGCCTCCATGCCCATCACCTCTGTCATTCACTGCCACCGCCTCAACTAATGAGCGCCGATGAGGCACAGATGACGATGTCGACAGCCCCGGCGTCCGGCTGGTCGCCTTCTTAGAACCATTACCACCAGCTTTGCTGGCACCAGCAGCAGCAGCAGCAGCGGTCGTGGTGGTAGTGGCGGCGCCTCTACCTGACCCAGATGTCTGTCGCCGCTGTGCCGTTGCGGCATCCGCTAGCAGGGACGCAAGGAAACTGTTCCCTCCGTCGCCCTTCGCTGCACCGCCATGTCCATCTTCACCACCACCACCACCTTGGACATGGACCTTGTCTGCGAAGTGGACATGCTTCACGGTGGGCGGCCGCGCAGCCGGCGGTCCTGTGTGGTGGGCAGCGGGCCCAGGACCCAGATGGAATAGTTCGCGGTTACCACCACCACCGTTAGTAGCTGCTGTGGAAGCTGGGTGGTCCTGTCGGGGGAGCTTTTTGAGGGCGCTTTGGACGGCTGGGCGCTGATGATGATGGTGGGGAATAGACTGGGGGGAAGGGGCGGCTTGAGGGAGTCCTGGTCCTGGATCGCTGCCGATACGCTGGCGCTTGTGACGGCGTTGGTGTTCTTCAGCGTCGCCTTTATGGCGGCTGCGTGGCTTGACTGGTGGGGTTGGCTCCGGATTGGCGGCATCGTGCGTCGGAACCTTTGACGCTGAGGCGAGGCCCTGGACCGCAGCCGTAGACTTACGCTGCTTTATCTTGGGCATCGTGAAACCAACCTTAATGCCACCATCCGGTTTGGGGAGAAGAAAGCGTCTGCCATTTCATGGCCCGAACTGTCCCGCCGCCGTCACTCCCCGGGAAAGACCTGTAATCGAAGTAAACCTACCAAATAGGTTTTTCCACTGGAAAGATAGGATGCGGCAATTTGTTAAGAGCCCGCAAAAGTCAGAGTAAGTTTCCCGCTCCCAAAACCTTGTTGATTCAATGATTGTGTTACAAAAAGCAGTATGCTAATACCTATTCATACAACCCTGAATGCAGAATTTCATACTGATTGTGCGTGATCATTTATGCATGGCTCCAGAAGGAATGACGATAACGGAACATGCCCAGGATGTTGAGCTCTGCTCAACATGTTCTATGTGAAGGTGTCCAAGGTGTTCAAGGTGAGCATGACATCTTCAACGATTGTTTCCATGAACAGAAAAGGAGCAAGCTTTCGGTTCTTCCCTCCTCAAGATCCACAACACTGTAAATATCCTAAACCATTGCAAAGCCTAGCATTTAGAAACCCATAAGCCCTTGGTATGACGCTATAGGCTTAGCATCAACATTCTGAACCTGGGATCAAGTTTTGGGTCACAAGAACACGTTTGCGCCCCGAAACATGAAGAAGACGGCCCATGCATCCGGTAGCTAATTTTATCAAACGCCATGCCAGAAGATTGAGCTGCTATTATCACAAGGCTTATCGTCGCGACGGTTGGGAGCGGCCGTCGTTGTGGTCGCGCCCCGTAAACTTCCCACCGAGTGGACTATGCGACGGGTCACACAGCAGAGTCACACAGATTGATGTGACTGAGAAATACGTGGTCTGATGCATTTATCAACGATTGAATGACGAGTAAGGTAGTCTTAGGCGCCTCGCTTCGCAAAAAAATTGCTATGTTACGCTTTACAACTCCTAATGCACGATTCAATATATTTATATTATTTCAATTCCAAACTTGTCTTCAACTGGATAATGAGGCGCATTATTTCCTGTAAGCAAGCACAGGCTGGAGGACGTGCCGCTGGGCCCATCACGGCAACTTGACACCTGGTCAAAACGGAACCCAAACGCTTCTCCTGGGAAATGAATAGCGCGCACGCTTTACAAATCCCAGACTGAAAAAAAATAACATAATATTGCTTTAGACGCATGCGCGTACCATCGCTTTTGATGTAAGAATGCGCCTTTGTCGAATTGTGTCGCTGAGTTGCGGCACAATTCGACAGCGACATGACACCTTCGCACACCTGGCAGTTGCTCTTCCTCGCCGGGGTTGCGTCGTCACCTGTCATCTTATCATGTCTCGTCTCGACTGTGCTTCACGGAGAACACATACATTTCCCTCCCGGCACTTCACGTCGCCTGTTTTGTCTTTCTTGTCATTTCGCATTTCGAGGCCACCTCACACCGCCGCTGTAGCATTCCACACGTGATCCTTTCGTCCCTACCTGTATTTTCTTCAGGGGATAAGACCGAATCCATTTTCCCTTCTCCTCCGTCTTTCCATTTGGCCCTGGGTACGTTTCCGCACCCGCCCTAGCTTCAAAGCCTAGGCATTCACATCCCAGTCTTAATAAATACGTCGCCAGTACGACTTATACAGATCGACATGTCTCTGAATTTGAATCCAGGACATATCCAAGGACAGGCGGTCTTTTATAAAGCCGAAAAAAATCCCACGCTGATGCTGCTACTGCTGCTGTTGTTGATGCTGCTACCGCTGCTGTTGGCGATACTGCTGTTACTGCAGTCCTAGCAGGGCCCAGTGGCAGCCGAGCAGCAACCGGAAAGAGAGCTTCATCCAGATGTTGACTCCAAAGACAGCTCAAAAAGACAGCGGCCCTGCGCGGCGCCCAGTCGTCAGTTAGTCCAGGTTAGTCGCTAACTACCCCAACGGCAATCCCCCAGGACCAGCATCCGTGGATCATTGCAGTGTTTCGTGGTTAAGATACGTTTCATGCGCCGTTGATATCTTCCTTTCCTTTCAAAAGAGAATAAAATTTCATTCCCCCAAAACGCTGTTTTAGTCCCTTACAGATATATTCCTTCATCCTTCAGAACTTTAGGCCGCCATGTTGACCTTTGGACACTGTCTTCGTTTTCGTCTTCGTTAAGAAAAGTGGTCAGGTCTAGTGGAGAAGGACCAAGTCGGGTCAGATGGCCGATTAGATGTGTGTGTGTGTATGTCTGTGTGTGTATGTGTGTATGTGTGTGGGAGGGGGGGACCTTATGGCACCAAAGGGCGGGGGGAAGGAGGGGAAAGACGAACCACGAAAGAGTGAAGCTGCTGCCAGGGCAAGAGTGTACCAGACGTAGAACTGACCAAAAGGCGTTCTTGAAGGCGGCGACCCGGAGGGGAGGAGGGGGGTTAGGTGGGAGGGGGCCCGAGCAACAGCATCTTCCCCCTTCCTGCCCGGCACCCTCAATCACACGACTACCACAATAGTATGGCCGAAGCAAAAACACTCTTCAAAGTCTGGGGCGAGTCCATTGTGGGGCGAGTGGGTGGGTGATGACATGTCGTACTGATGACCGTCACGGCCGGTACGACAGGTATATTAATTGGCCAAGTCCAAGAACAGGTTCGGCCAAAATCCTAGGGGGGAGCTGTACATTGGTTTAAAAGGTAACGTGTAATGTGTAATGTGTAACGTGAATTCATCGGGTATGACGTGGCCATGTGAAAGCTCTCATAGCGTTACATGACAATGTGCAAAAATCCTGGGAGAAGAGAAAACGTACAAATTCCATTATTCTTGACACAAGGATAAAAAATTGTAGGTCCCAAGATGGCCTCCCAAGATATTATGACGTGAAAAAGAAAGAAAAAGAAAGGAACAAGAGCGAGAGAGCCCGTGCACATGCGTGACCTGTATGTATTGTAGTATCGATGTACCGTGTTCGAAACGATGTCCAAACATCCTGTCAATTAAACATGTGCAATGCAAGATCTTCCAAAAGCCATCACACCGCCGCCACTGCCGCCACCTACCACCTGCACCATATCCGTGCAATATTACAGCCCATTCCAGGGTTCCAGTATCCCTTCGAGACAGGAGGGAAGGGGGTCGAGGGGAAGGGGGGCTCCCCTCCGCTTCCTTCCCGGCCAATATCCAACAACCTGCAAAACCTGCAATCTCACACGGCCAACTATTACCCGCCCACACCCCCACACCCCCACTTATCCTGCCGTACACATTCACGAAAGACGCCGCAAATACAGCCACCAGCCAAGCGTATGCCTGCCCATTTCCCAGCTCACTCAACTCACTCATACACAAAAACCCATACAGACGTCCCCCTCCCTCCCCTCCCCCTCCTCGCATCCCACCCCCCCCATCGCCTCTCCTTTTTCCCCTCCTCCAATCTCCTCATTCTCTCAATCCTCCTCCTCCTCCCCCCTCCTCCTCCCTTCACCCCGTCGCTCAGTACACCATCGTCACCACACGGCCACCCAACCCAACGGAAGGTCCAACCGAAACAACCGCCAACGGGCCCCGAACCTGATCCGGTAGAGCAGCAGTACGAGCAGTGGTACCGTCCGGAGCAGAGGCACGCGGTCCAACAGGCGTTACGTCGTCAGACGCCCCAACAGCCCGCCCCGGCACCACATTTGCCCCCGGGCCCCCCGCGGCAGCCTCATAAACCCATGACCCCTTATGGGTTTCCAATGAACCCACGTCAACCTCGACGTGCGCGCTTGCCGAGACTGCCGTGCCGCCGGCGCCGCCGCTGCCAGATGCGGCGGTGGCGGCGGTCGCTTTGCCGGCAGCTGGCCGTGCCGTCGCGCTGCTCGTGACAATAAGGAAGCCGCCGCCGCTGCGCTTCGGCAGGGAGTATTCCCGGAAACGAGCACGGGGGGAGGCGGCGGCGGGATGATGGCGGCCGATGTTGCGAGGGGAGCCGACGGCGGCGACAGCAACATGCTTTTTCAGCTTGACAACACGATTCTGCACGGCCGGCGGCGGTAGTGGTGACGGCGGCGGCGGCAGCGGCGGCGGCGCCGCCGCCGCATCCGTCTGCTGACGCAACAAAGCCGCCTCGACGTTCCGTTGCTGTTCGTCGTCCTCCGCCGCCGCCACCGCCGCTGCGTCTGCTGACGTCAGCGCCGCCAGGCCGGTCGCTTCCAGCGTGGCGGACATGACGACGCCATCGCCGTTGCTGCTGGCGGCGATACTGGCGGTACTGATGCGTACGGCAAGCGGCGGAGCCGGTGGAACCGCTGCCAGAGCCCAGCCACTCGGCTCAGCGCTGGGTGCTGGACTTCCCCCGTCATCCTCACTCGGAGCTATGCTGGAGCTCCCTGTGCTGCTGGTCGCCGTTGTGGCGGTAAGGAAGCTTGACGACAGCGCGCGCGGCTCGCCGCCGAGCGATAACACGTCGGCACAGTGGTCCGTGGCGCTCGTACGAGCGCTGGCGGCGTCGCCGGCGGCTGCAACGGAGCTCACTGTGCTGTGGCTGCAGCGGAGCCCGTCGCCGTGTCCCTGAGCGTCGCCATGCTGGTACGGCAGCAGCTGCTGCTGCTGCTGTCGCTCCAGAGTCGCCGGCACGTGCGGTACGGCCCGGGGCTGTGAAGGCGGCTGAGGCTGTAGCACCTCCCCTCGCTCGCCTCCCTGCCGCTGCTGTTGCGGCAGCTCATCTTGCAGCTCAACGTAATTATGGCCATCTGTCTCGTCCAGCTCTCCATCCAACTCGTCGTACGGGCTGCCGTACACCATGTTAGCCACACGCACCTGGTCGTTCAGAAGACGCCGCAGGGAACCACGACACAGTCGGCCTCTGGTGTGTACGGCACCAGAACCGGCGGTGCCGGCGCCAGCGGCAAAGGAGGCGGAGGAACTCTCTGGAGAGGCAACCACCGCCGCCGCCGCCGCGGCCCCCGCCGCCGCCGGTGGAAGATCTTGCGTGCGCATCCGCCGGGCTGCCAGCCCGAGCCTGACGTTGCTTAGAGGCCCCGTACGCATCCGAGTACGGCAGCTGCCGCCGCCGCCGCCGCCACAGTCCTTGTCGAGGAATTCCTCCGCGGGGCCCGCACCTGACTGCGTGAGTACGGAGAGGGTGTTCAGGCTGCGGCTGCGCAGCGCCCCGGGTGGTGGCGGCCGCGGCGGCAAGACGGGAAGGATTTCCGGCCGCTGTTGCTGCTGCTGCTGCTGCGGCGGCGGTGGCGGCGGCGTTGTGTCCATACCGGGGTCCGACACTACGTGCTGGTGGTGGTGGTGCAACCGCCGTTGTTGTTCTTGTTGGTGTTGGTGGTGGAGCTGGTAGGGTTGAGAGTCGCGTACATGGGGATGTGCGCAGTTGGCACCCAAGGAGGATGTGGATTCGTCCTCCTCGCCTTCCCTAGGACTCTCCGGTATGACGTCCATGGCGCCGCCGCTGGTGCTGGTGCTGGCGCCAGCGGCAGAGCCGCCGCCACCGTACGGCTGATTATGACCCGCCGCGGCGTCCCGCACGTCGCGGGACGACGACGCCGACACGTTGGTCAAGGAGGCACCGCTCCATGTCGTTATCGTGGACACGGCGCTAGGGCAGGAGCAGGCGGAGGAGGAAGAGCCCAGCAGCGGCAGCCGGAGGGAGCTCGACAACGTCGATCCCGCCGTTGACGTCGCCGCCGCCGCCGTCGTGGCGGCGGCGGCGGCGGCGGCGGCAGCTCGGCCGTTCAAAGACCAGCACTTCTCCAGCTGTGCTACCGTCCGGGACTTCATCCGCTCGGTTTGCAGAGGCCCAGGCGGCGGCGGCGGCGGCGCCCGCGGCGGCGACGCCGCCGGCGTCGATGCAACCACCACAATTTGTGACGCCGACGTCGCCAGGGCCGGCACTAGCCCTAGCGTTCTTGCAGGCGCCGCCTCTTCCGTCACAGCCGCAACGTGGGAGAAGGCGCCTGGTCCAATCTGTGTCCCAGCCGCGGGGCTAGCAGCCAGGCGCTTCCAATGCTGGGCTCGGCGCACAGCGCGCTCAGCCGTCGCCAGCGTGCCCAGCCGCGGCGAAGACGCCTGGCTGGCGCCGGCGTCTGTCTCTGCATCCACGTCAGCGTTTTCAGCGTGCACGTCGGCGTCGGCGTCCGTGTAGCTGGCCCAGGCAGCTACCGGAAACGCCGGTCCCAGCGCAATCATTTTAGAACTCAACGTTGACATCTCGGCCGCCAGCCGTACGCTGTCACCACTACCGCTGCCGCCGCCGCCGCTGCCGGCGTTGGCTCCCGTCCTAGCAGCCCAGCTCGACGGGTCGGCAACCGAGTGACGTCGGCGCTGCAGCTGCGGTGTCGTCGCCGTCGCCCAGCTGCCGCTGCCGCCGCCGTTGACGTCGCCGCTGCTGTCACTTAATCGTTGCTGCGACCTCATCCGAGGACCCTGCACCACCTCCACCACCTCCACTAGCCGTGTTGAACTTACCAAGGTGCGTGGTGATAGCTTATCGGCACCAGTGGTCAGCGCACGGCTCGGCAGCGTATAAGTCGTATGGTAACGCTCCAGGGAAGGGATAAAGCCCGCGGCGACGGCGGCGGCGGCGGCGCTGCCCTCAGCGCCGAGGCCTGGGCACCTGCAAGCCGTCGGGATTGAAAGCGAAACTGAGGACTTGACTTCCGAAGTGGCTGGCGTCTGGGAAGAGGAGGCGCGCCGTAACGGCGCACGGGGAGGTAGTAGCGTCGAGGACGGCGGCGGTGCGCTGGCGGCGGCGGCGCCGCCGCCGCCGCAGCAGCCGCCGTCAGCGGACTTCCGTCGGGGGAAGTGCACTAGGACTACGGAAGTCGGCGCTGGCTTGGCGGGGCCGTCCACGAGGCGTGTGACGCTGCCGCTGGTGGAAATTGTTGACGGCTGAGGTGCCAGAAGCGCCGCCATTGACGAAGATGCCGATAGCGGCCCCGGAGTCCCCGCGGCGGCCGCGGCAGCCGCCGCCGCCACCGCCGCCGCGGCCGTGGGCCAGTCCGACTCCGCCACGTAGACCACAGGATGCGGCGATGACTGCGTCTTCTGCTGCTGACACTCGACGCTGCCCGTACTACCCAACTCAGCGGCGGCGGCGGTGACGACGTTGCCGCCAGCTGGCAGCAGCTGCGGCGATGCCTCCGACATCTGCTGCGACCTACGCTGACGTTGGCGTTGCCGGTGGCGAAGTTCCTCCCAGCCGTCAGCAATATCAGTGAGCACTGCGGCGGGTCAGTACGGCGGCATCGGCGGCAGGATGACGGCTTAGGTTCAGCGTCTCTCTCTCTCTCTCTCTGTCTCTCTCTCCCTCTCTCTCTACCACGGGACGAACGCCGATCCCTCGTTAGGGTCTCCCGTCCCCAACAACAAATTAAGACCAACCCAACTGTGTCATCCACTGCACCGCACACGGCACACTACCAGTGGCCGGCCGGAAATGAATGAGAGCGCCCTGGAGCGGCATTGCCTCATAGAGCAACGGTTCACACGACGTCCCGACCCATGGGTCCCTCGCTCACGTTCCAGCGGCGACTCGCCCTCCCGTTTGCGCTCCGCAATGTACTGCCGCAATCGCCGTGCCCCGCGCAGCTCCGCAATGTCCGCCCATAGCACACTAGTGGGCGGCACACGACGGCCCCAGCTGCGTGCGTCGTGAGCGCCACCGTTGGGGCCCAGCTGTGACAATAGGGCGATCCTGGCAGCGGTACCGCCGCCGCGGTGTCCGTTGAAGCCGCAATCCAGTTTCTGAGGAGGAATGTGTGGCCGCACACACCAGCACACGTGAGCGAGTGTGTTTCAGCCCCATTCCGGCGGCCGGCCGGTGGGTCGCGGGTACTTATTCAAAGCATATACGCCTGCCTTTGTGATGCGGCAAGGTGCGCGCCAAAGTGGCTTCCCTCTTTTCTCCTCTCCCGTCCCCCCTTTCCCCCCTTCCCTTTTCCCTCGGGCGGCATGTTCATACACAGTCGGCAGGCAAAGCGTTCTCTTTCCCTTTTCCCCCCTTCTACAGCTGGTGGCCCCTCCTCTTCCTTCATCTCCACATGCTTCTCCCCTCCCCTCCCCCCCCCACCCGGCCCTTTCCCCCCCCTCACCGCCAAATACTCCCCGGATACCGGCGGAGGACCCCCCGGTGCGGGCCGAGCATTCTCCCAATACTGTCGGGGCCCTAAGGGGGAGCTGTTGTCCACCGCCTTGCGCTCCTGACTGATAGCGCCCATGGCACGTAGCTGTTAAAGTGGGGGTATGATAGGGAGGGGATAGGAGGGGGAGCGGGTCGAGGAGGAGAGGGACAGGGAAGGGCAGGGCGGTTCAGGGTTGCCCCGAGCTGTTTGCTGTGACAGACGGGCATCGATGGGATAAGGTGTTGGGGGCCCGTGGTGCACCGACGCCAACGCGCCTGTGGTTGGTTATTTACATAGTCCCTACCCCCTACCTACAAGCCACGGCATGGCCATGGCATAGCGGCATTCATGTGTCGACGGCGGAGCGCTCCGCAGTGATTTGTTAAAACTAGGGTAGCATACAGAGCGTGGAAGATAGTGAATGGTGCGAAAGACGAGGGGATGGAAAAGGAGGCGAAAGCGGGTAAGTACAGTAGGTTCGCCGGCTGGTTGTGTTGCCGCGCAGCAAGGGCAAGTAGCTAGGAGCAAGAAATAGCTAAGTATATTCAGAACTCACGAAGAGCATTATGAAAGGCACTGAAGTTCATATACGTGTGCCATGGGCTTACTAGCTCGCTCTGGGGCTTACCTGGGGCTCAATGTCGACCGAGCTGGAGGGATACGCCTTGGTAACCTTTTTCCTTGCGTTATGTCCAGCTGGAAAGTCTGGATCTTGCAGCGAAGCCTTGAAGCGTTCTAGGTGTTCTTGAACTACGCAAGGCGGGCGTCAACCCGCGACGAAGGTCAAGGCACATCTCAGGATTTTTTAATCTGTATATCCCTTAATGCTTTTTAAACTTGACTTTGTAACAGCAAGCGCACCTAAACTGGGTCTTGGTGGCACATCAGTCCTTTCCGGAGCGCCAACGCGTCCCAAGGATAAGCTGGCCTTCCGCGGTGATAAAACTGGAGAGCTGGAATGGAGGTACGTTGTGCTTGAGCCCAGCTGGCGCACCCTGGGGCTTCCAGGGCGGTCCATCTCACGGCTGTTCCCTCCTCGGCGTACAGCCACTCGTGTAAAAATGTGGTCTTTTAGCAAGAAGTCAATGTCATTGCAACACGGTGGAAAACGGCAAATGGGTGAGCTTCAGTATCTTCAACCACCCTAATGCTGCACGTCCAGGAGTTTCAGAGCACCATGCATTCTCGTATGGATTTCTTAGCCATCGAACGTAAGTTTTTGAAGCCAAGTATAAAACGAAGTAAAACTTGAAAAGGAATGTGGCACCCTTTCTGCGCCCGCGCAGTAGCAAGTCGTAACTGGTAACAAGGTAACCGACAGCCGAAACTCCGTCATGTGCACATGAGCGCGGGTGACAGTTCAAGCAAGTAGGTCTCGTTGCGTCAGACACACGTTACTCAATGAGCAAGCTTTTGTCGCCGTTTGAGCGGTGGCAAGGAAAACCCTTACAGCAGCCCACACCATACAGGTTATCCGAAAAACTTTAATCTGTTGCCAATCTGGGGGACTCCATTTGGTTCCTGAAGTTCGCTTTTTCGGGCACACGGGGAACTGGGCAACATGGTTACAAGTCTGTTTTCCGGTAGTTGGAGTTTTTTCGCTGTGCGCAACTGAAGAACGCATTTCGTGGTTTTTACCATCGCCGAGAAGAACCTTAGTACTTTTTAATTAACGCGTTTATTTCCATGAATGCAGGTTTGTTGGCATCACTCGTCGCGGCTTAACGCCCTCTTTGGCAGGATGTCGAGCCGCCCTTCCCTCAAGAGTCGGGTAACCGCCTGTCGTTGTCGGGACGAGAACATGACCTAAGTATCCTAGACCAAACCAGTGCTGTTGTGCCGCAACAAGGATCCACTCTATGGCGTGCTAAGCTCGCGGACACCGACCCCACAAAATGGACTGCCAGCGCTTTACGTTCCATACCAGCTGCCCACGGCGGGTTCGCACCGCCGCCGGCGCCGGCTACATAAGACCTGAACTGAAGATCAGTATATGAATCAGGCCGATGTCCAGTGGTGAAATAACGGGAGGCTGGCCAAGTGGTGTCCCGTGACCCTTGATGTTAGGTCATGAAGGGGAGGGAGGCCAGCCTGCTGTGCTGGGCCGCCGTTCCGACCGAACACCACGCATGCCTGAAAAACTTATTTCAGCTCAAAACCCAAAGCCCAGACAGTGCAGCTGCGTAGAGATCACAGTTAACTCAGTAAGAAAGGCCGGTTCAATGACGAACCCAACCGTCTGGCGGTCGGGCCTTATGCTTAATAACAAAGAGAAAGGTTTTTTTCCTCTCCATACCGCCGCCATAGCGCAAATCGGCGCCAGGTTATTCTGTCAATGATGCATCTTCTGCCTACTACTACTTGACTTCTGCATACGCCTGTCAAAAAGACTGTACTCCCAACCCTGATGAGCGGTCTAAGCCCTACTAGCGGTAAGCGGTACCGGTACCACACACCCCGCAGATAAATTATGTCACAGAGCCTCCTCGCGGTGAGGGAGGAGCGGCGTCCCCATTATCCCGCTCGCTTCGGATGTCGGACCCCACCACCGCCACAATTAAATCTTTTGCAGGCTCACCGCAAAACAAAAACACGACACAGTCTTTGCTGCCACATCAAACCACCTCCTGTGACCCTAAAAGGTTCTCCGGCAAGCCCTGCAACTGCCAAACCCAAAGAGCCCTGCGGCAGAGGCGGTGTTTGTACAACCAAAAGGCTCAGTGCTTCGCTTCCCCACGGAAACGCTTCGTAATGCAAACAGCACTCTCGCCGTTGCACGCACACTTTATATACATACACACACACACTTTTTGCGCAAACACACGCAACACATCATAACGCACCAACCCGCGCTTGCGGCAAGGTTTTCCGTCAGCAGCCTTAAACCTCACCGGTCAATAGTTAGCCCGCATCGAAAAAGGGAAAGCACCAACTCCGGATGGCCAGCGGCCCCGATGGAACAGAACGTCAATAAAAATAAAAAAACTCAGCCGTCAGGACATTCTGGAGTCCATCAGCAGAGCGGTGCGCTCCGAAACCAGGCGTCAACCGTGCCGCCACCGCCCGGAGGCGCAAACCAGATTGCGCTAAGCCCCTCCTATGCCGGGGCATACCCTGCCACGACTGACTAACATTGAATGCCACCTGACATTGTATTCCGCTTCATCATCCTGTCTGCCACCCTACCTCTTAGTCAGTACAATAGCCCCAGCGTCCTGCTTACCTTGTCCTGTCCTCGCTTCCTTTTGCGGGCCCCTGTCAACCAACAGCCACAGTGGCCGCTAGCCCGCCGCATAGCTTCCTTCGCTTGTAGAAGCGGTGGTAGCACACAGCTCTGTCACCTAGTAGGATACGCACTTTAACCTGACTGTATGTAATCTGGCGGGGCCGTCTATCGGTGTGAGATCACCACGCTTTCAATACGCAATTTAGGTATAGTAACACGGACACGCGTGAACGGTGCAACCGGCGTCATTGGTCACAGGGGCGGACCCAGAGATAACTTATGGACATTGACATCGACATGACATGACAGAACAGGAAGGACAAAGCCGGCAGGGCAGATCTTGGGAGCTGGACGCTTGGCATCATCCCAATCCCATTTCCCAATCCACACACATATACACGTCTACACATACACACACAACCAGACAACGCTCACTCGCTCACCACCACTAACGTCATAGCCAAGCCCGACGTCTTCCCCACGGTCGGGTACCGCGGTGTCGCCCTAGTAACAGCTGGACACATCACACAGTGCCCTGTTGTGATAAGTAGCTTCTGTCCCGGGACGCTCTCGCCAAGAATTCCGTGTCCAGTACTTGAGCACGCACTTCGCCTGTCGCCTCCCCCCCAAAGTCATGCGACGCCATGGCTCTGGTCAAACCTAATCAATTCGCTCTGCTACGAGGCGCGAGCACGAATGCGTCTACAGCTTATGATAAATAGCTACTGCACTAATTATGCGAACGTGCATGCATTCGCGAATGCATGCACGCGCATACGGCGTTTACGAAAAACCTCGTTTAGACTGGGGCATTCAATATGTTGACAGCTGACAAAGGTTGACGGTTAACAGTTGAAACTCAACGAAAATGGGCTCACACCCAGTGGGTCTTTGCCATCTCAGTCTTGCCAGCCCAGTCCGATTTTCCCCCTGGCCTGGCTACCGTCTTCCGCTCGCCGGTCCGAGCACAACCGCTTCTGCTCCCTCCCGCAAGAGGGAGAGAGCAGGGGAGAGGGATGCGCGTCGTCAATACGTTCCTCCGCAGCCGCCCCCCTACCTATCTGCATTACCACTTGATATTACACCTAGCACCTAGTCTTTGTACACGATCCCGCAAGGCAAACACAAGCGGCCTCTGCGGTTTTGCAGCAGCGGTTTCCGCTCATCACCGTGCGCTCAGAAATCACCGGCGCCGGCGGGCGGGCGCCAGCATGGAGCTTCCGGTCATCAGTGCCACTCTTCCCAACACGGCACTTGCCTGTACACCCCGCTGTGCACCTCTTCCTCCCCTCGCTGTCTCATGCACCCAAGCGCGCACACGTGGGCCCAAGGACAACAGCGACGCGTCTTCACAAGGGGACCCTAGTTCGTCTAATAGCATCTCTCCCCGTTGGCCTGCCTGCCCCTACCACATATCCCCACCTTCATCAACAGACCGTAACAGCCCCTGCTATGGCGTTACGACGGCTAACCCCAGTTGCCAGCACACGCACCTCCTCCACACGCAAGAAGTCAACCCTACTGGATCCGCCAAATATACAACGCGTGCTCCGCGGGCGGGAGCTGCTGCCGGCCCCTTCTCCTAAACCGCAAGACGCGTCCGGTCCCTTGGCCATTTCGCTGCCGCGACCACGCCAGGCCATGCCCCCTCGGCACGAGCGCAGCGTCGACTACTGGCCCATACTCATGCTGCTGCCCGCGCCTCATCATTGAGGATGTACTCTATCAACTGTTCCTCCGCATCGTCCAATTGGTTGCCTCGCCCCGTGCAGCTCTCACGGCTTCGCGGCTTGAGGGAGTTGTGCCCCCTGTTAGACTGGCTGCTGGTGTTGCGCACCGATTGGCTGCTGTTACCACGCACAGGAGTGGACGTGCCCGACTGAATCATCAGCACGTCGGCTCCGTCGCTGTCGGGCAAAGATCCCGGCAGGAGTGCACCAGGAGCCATGGGGTCGCCGCGGCTCGCCCGCATGGGCGAGCCTCCGCGCATGGGCGACGGCGCTCTAGGCCCGCCTGTGCGCGGCGGCGTGCGGCCGCCGCGCGATCCTCCGGCGCTACCGGGTGATAGCGGCGTCCGAGGCGGTCGGCCCAGCGGGTCCGAGGATGAAGCCGCCAGGCCCCCAGTCCCGGCATTGCCTGCACTGAATGGCGGTCCGCCCAGGGCACCCGCGCCGGGCCGGCTGCCCTTGACCGCCAGCGCCGGCAACGCCCCAAATCGGCCGTTCAGCGGCGGCAGCGTTGCGGCACGGCCACCGGAGCCTGGCGCCTTGATGGTAATGCCGGGGCCCACGGGCACGTCCTCGTTGCCAGCTGCGCGTGCGCCCCCGCCCGCAATCTCTTCGTCCACTTCCGTGAAACGGCGGTGCAGCACCTGCAGCAACGCAGGCTTGACGCCGCCGCCCAGCATCTTTTCCACTTCAAACGCCTGTCCTGCCGCCTTGCGGCCGCGGTACACCTCCGCCACAAGCCGCACCGCCGCGGCGCGGACCTTGTCGTCCGGCATATCCAGTGCTGGTCGCGTAAAACACACAATCTCCTCGGCTGGCAGTGCATCCGGCACGCCGCGTCCGCCAGCCCCCGCCGTGCGCCCCGCCGTGCCAAAGCCCATTTGTTGCTGCACCTGCTGACAAGCAAGAGACGGGGCAGCAACAAGCCTGCTCAACAAATGATGTGGAGGGTTTGCACCCACAAGTCCGCGAGCCACCACACAGGGTCCGCCGTACTCCCGTCCATGGATCGTCGGTGGGACCAGTCAACGCAAGCCGTGCACAGTGTATGTTGGAGAGGCAAGCCGAATGCTGTACTCTTTTGAAAGGGCTTAACAGGCAAAAGGCCGCGGAAGGATGCCGTCCGCCGGAATCCGCTACTGCAGATATGAAGCGCCTCATCCACAAACCCCGCCATAGCCATGGCCACAGCCACGGTCATGGCCACCCAACGAAACGGATGAAATGGTGCAATACCATAAAGTACCTCCGCACCCGCACCTGAACATTGAGCATGCACGTGATGAGCTCCAGCCGGCCAGCCATCTGGGAGGCGGCAGCAGCGCCCATCTGAGACTTCTTGGGGATAGCGCTCAATGCGTGGGGGGCCAGGAACGCCAACCCCAGCGAGGGCTGATTGGCGAGAGTGAGCAAGGCCTGGATGGACGTTTCCTGTTTCGCACACCGCGGCCAAATAAATAAGAGCACAAAAATCAGCCGACTCTTTGATCACGACAGGGATAACCCCCTGACATAACGGTCTGCAATGATTCCTTAAGCCCGCTGAGCACGCTCACGGTGCCATCATATTTACCCCCAAAACACAGACGACTCAATAAGCAAACTCCCAACCAATAGGCGCTGTTTCCGTCGTCAAGGGGGTTTGCTACGAGGATACAATCAGCCTCCCATTGCACATCAGCACTAACCGGCAGGGCACACGCTTACCTGGATACGAGCATTATTGTTGCCTACTCGATGCAGCAAGGTCGGCATCAGCGGCTCGAGGCCTTGCGAGAGGACGCTAAATGGTAACTGGGTGGAGTAGCTGGACACCAACGTCGAGAGCAACTCCAGAGCCGAATAGTATAGCGGCGCAACCTTGTCCCTAAGGGCGGGCCGGCACACGGAATGGGTGGGTGAGCCACACTTCAGACGACCCTGGATAAACTCCTTTGCCTAGGCCTACAACAGGGGTTATCTGGGGACGGGCTGTGGATGGAAAATCGCGACGATGACGAAACCGGCGTCGGATGCATTCAGCAGGTACTAGCTGGAACTCCGGAGACCGCGGGCCTAGAAGTATGCCCTGAACATGGTCCATCTGGATCGCCATATGTCAGCGAGCTACAGGAGAACACGCGGATCCCAAGCATGCAAGCTGCATAGCATACCGGCGGCTGACAAACCGTAGAAACCCCAACATCCCGGTAGCTCATCCCCCCCGAGGGTTGCGACAAGCTGCCGCGACCTCATTCTCTGAAGTTGTGTTCCCTGGCCCGTCTAAAGCTCGTCCCCCCAGTCCCCAGTCCCGGCTCCCGACACACGTACTTCAGCGCCTTATCCAGCAGCTGGGTTACAGTTATCCAGATGTCCTCCGCTCCATGCTCCGCATTGAATCGCGCATTGCCCAGATTGCGCATGACAGCCTGCAGCGCTTGCTCACGCGTTTTCCAGTCTGGGGAATGAAGGCTGCGCACTGTGCTTTCACCAAGGACAGCAGTCCACCCCGAAGCCTCCTCAGGCACTTGCACGGCCGCTGGCAGGTCCGCAGCCAGCTTTGTGCCATCCGACTGTGCGCCCACATAATCTATTTTCTTAGGAGCTCGCTTGGTTGGCGTTTGGCACTCGGTAGCTGCTAGAGGAGGGGCTGAAGCCTCTGCCTCTGACGAGGGCTCAAGTGCATCATCTGGCGCTTCCTCAGGCTCAGCCTGAGACACACCACGAGCCCCAGGTGCAAGGCCAGGCGCACGTGACGACTCCTCGCGGGCTACCAGAGGCAGCTTCTGCATGAGGCATGCGACCAACCGTCAGGCTTGGAGGCACAGAGCCAAGTCACATTCTACTTGTTAGGTTTTCTACTAAACCATTTTAGGACTTACGTACGGTTCAGAGCTAGTACCGAGCTATGCTCAAGGGCTTTCTAAGTCGTTGCACTTTGACGAACTGTTGTAGTAAGCACATACCTTCTCCTCGGTTGGTGAAGTTGTCGAAGCTGGTGATGGTGAATCAGCTGCAGCGGATACTGCAACGGGGCTGACGGACTTCTGCCTCGACGCCGTGTCCGGGGTAAGCGCTCGCTTCGGGACCTCAGGGACATCAGGGGGCGTCGTTCCATCAAGACCCTCCAACCTAGAAGGCGCTGAACCGATTCCCTTTCGCTCCTCATTCTTTTGCTTCTTGTCCTTTGAGAACAGTGAGCCCATCGTCACCTCCGCGTCCCAGCAGTACGCAGGCAGGCCTCTGCTCCTTCAGGCAAGAAGTCGGTAGAGATGACCTCTTAGTTCATACCAGCCTTAAAAAACTGCAGAGATGGCCTGATAGCTCGTGCCTAACCCCGCGCCCCGTGTTTAGGTCTACTTGACGGGTGCAAATGTTGTGGGTTACGACAAGAGAAAGGTATCTACATATGCTTGCAGCCAATAAGCTACTTAATGGTCCTGATGGGATATGACGGTGACGAGCAGGACTGAAAAGTTTTTTCGGTGACACAGTACGGCACTGCGGGAAAGTTGGTCAAGTCTCCTTCGAAAATTGGTTTCGTCTAAGGTGCAGATTTACAGTCAACAGTGTGTACCGAAAAGCAATGCAATTTCCTGACTTTGCAAAGCAGTCCGCAAGCGAACCGGCGCTGACACAGCTACATTGATGTATCTCGCGAGACCCAGTGATTACTTGCAACGAAAGTTCCCGTCACACTCTTCACAATGTTTTTAAGCGCCGGCAGCTAGGTGCCCATAAACAGCACCTTACTTTTTTTATTGGGCCTGTCTGCTAGGATCTTTCGCATATGACCTTATCATGTTAATTTTGTAGGAAGGCGAGGCATTTGAGTAGGGAAGGAGCTCTTGATAGAGGTATGAGACGCCGTTCGGCGGCTAGCGTTTCTTAAAAAAAGACCCTGGGCATAGGTGCCAGTTCTCGAGGACTTTTACGAAATGCGGTCACGTCTTAAGTTTGCCAATCGTTGGAACCTGGAGGGAACCTGCTGCTCCAGCTTGACCATCGTTGTGCAAACGGGGCTGCTGTGCGCGAAAGAACGTCAAGCAGACTCGCTAAGCTCTGGCCCTGTATGCCAGGCCAAGAAATAGCTACGCAGCACATGCCCAGCTGACTACCGGACGCTTGCTAACGGCTGAAACACCTTAAATATCCGTGCACTTCTGGACATACGCCGAGTCACAAACGCCTGTGCCTACCCCTGACCTTTCAAAATCCTCCCTGCCACAAAACACACCTTCCTTAACCTGCAACCTGTATGCGTAGCACCTTGTACCTTACACCAGTTCTTACCCACTCAAACCCATCTCGCTGGGATTAACTAGCCACTCTCCACGCTGGCCTTCAATGGGCGCACACCAAGCGAGCACCAGAATGCCAAAACTGCCCTCTGCCCTTCTCCTATCCTCGTTAAGACCTCCCCGCCGAACCCTGACTGCATGGCATCTCGTCTGGTGAGAGGAACTTGACGATGCGCTCCAAAGAGCTGTCAACTATCCTTGCAGTTCCAGGAGCAACTGTCAGGGCCGGCCATGGGGCGAGTGTCCAGGTCTCACTAGGAATTGGGACAAAAGCTTTGTTTCACTGTAACTCGCGTACTTGTCTTGGCCGTCACCTGCCATCCCAACAACGTCCCTGACTGCATCTGTCCGGGTACGCATGCTATGGCAAAGCTACGCATGACAATCGCAACGAGATTCTCCCTCGTCGAAATGCCCACTTGCGTCGAAATGCCCTTCAGACGTGGCCTGCCTGCACACCGGCAAGTACAAGCCCGTACTGCTGCTACAAGCCCACGGGTGGTGAACCGTTCCCAGCGGTTCTCCCTCCCGTTGCCTAGCACACTGCGAGCGCGCCAACGCTGGTGTTGTAGTTTTCAGTGCCAAACTCGCCGTTCCAAGGCCGGCAGCTGAGGGATGATTGGAACCAGCGGAGCTCAGTTACAAAGGGAGAAGTGCAGAACCAACTTCATTTGCTTCTACAGGGTGTTTCTACACATAACATACTGTAGGGGGGAAAAGAAATGAGGTCATGAAAAGGGTGGCTCCTAAGCCAACAGTGTGAATACAAGCAAGTTACAAGTTACAAGTTCCGCACACAAGTGAATACAAGCAGGGAGGGAGGACAGAACTATCCAGGGACGCAAAAATTGCCGGGTAAGCTGTGTCCCCAGCATCATTTGCCGGCTGAGCTGACATGTCGCGAGGTCCCGCAACGTTGCTTGCGCTGGCGGTGCGTTAAGCATCTGTCCCGTACCGCTGTTTACCACTTGTACGCCTTCCTCCCGCATCGCTTTGGTAGATCTAACGCAGTCCTGCGAGGGTGCTTCTTTCGGCGCTTACCACCACGCAAGAGCAACGATGCAGGCCAGCCTCGCCGGCAGGCCCCCAGCGCCATACATACGTGCGCACATCACACACGCCCTGCCTTAAGACCTTTCGTAGCCCAACTCGAATGCCACTGCGCTCATTGGATGCCTGGCATTCTCCATTGTGATTGTCATTGTCCATCGTCATTGTCCATCGTCATTGTCCATCGTCGCCATCAACGACAACAACACCGCCACCATTCCTCAACCCCGCCATCATCACGGGCAACTACTGGATGCACGACCGACCGCCGTGCGCCGCGCCAGACGAAAACCGCAAAGCGTGAAAAATCGTCTTTCCCAGATGTCTGTCTGTCCGCGGAGCAGCTTACTTTTCGGTCCGGTGGCTAACTGGACACGCCCCTAAGTCCCCCTGCGCCGGCAAGCTAAACTGTATGTAGATCCAGGCGATAGCAAGCAAGAGCGCACTAGCGAAGGATAAATCGGAGATAAGACGGCCAGAGGCTGTCAGAGGTGGAGGATTAGCACGGCTGGTGGATGAAGCCATGCATGGAAGGAGCCAGGAACGGCGTACGGAACCACCAGGCGGGAAATAAGGAACCACTAACGACACAGGTACGCACGCGAAAGAAGCCACGATTGTACGGTTGCACGATTGTAGCCCGCGGGAAAGATATGAAAAGGTATCACGTGGATCGCACACACACACACACACGTCGGCGGCAGCGCGCACGTTGTTGGCGCGTCATCCTGTCCGACGACAAAGAAAGGTCCCGTATGCATAGCAATTCATTAATCACATCCCGGTCCAGTCCTGCAACATCCAACTTGAGAAAGAGTACGAACACTTCCCTAACGGTTGCAGTTGCAACCGTCGCACAAACTGATGAAGACGCAAGCGTCATTTATCACTTGAGTTACACTCGCTGGAGCATCACCACAACATAGGCCTCCGGAACCACGCAGCACTAGCAAGGAGGATTGCACGTTAGCATTAGATTACGGTGAACCTCCTCCAGGAGAGGCGCTCGTACTGCACTTCATGGTGCGGCACAACAGTGTGATCTAATGCGATGTAGTGGACTACAGCGTGCGCTGTACTACGAGTGTACCGTACTACATGATGTTGTACTATAACACATGTGTCACAATTCCGGCTGGACTGCATCACAGCACGCCGCACTCGCACGCAGCCAACGGATCTGTCCTCGCTCGGCTACATCACATGCCCCTTGGGCATGCCTGGCACGCCCTTTTCGCGTCGTGGACGGCCACCCCCTGCACCGCAACCATATCCCCCATCCCGTTCATCACATCGCTAATACGACACCCAAGTTGCGCTTAGCCGTACACCACAGACGATGAAGGTTGCTATACCATTAGCTCTTGCGCCAGCCCGAGCGCAAGCCTGCCCAAAGTCCGAGAGAACAAAACACATCATAAACGTGGTACGAGGCCCTCGCCTTGGTACCTTTTCGGGTTATCGCACGCCTGTACAGTGTTTTGCGCAGCGCCGGTGCTCCCTTGAGCCATGCGTGTGCATCCGCTCGTCTTAAGCGCGGGGATGTGAAGGATGTGTCGTGCATGTGCGCGGCGCGTGATTCTTTGAGTTTGAGTAGGGCCCAACGCGCTGTCGGGCGAGGCGCACCCACGCGCCCAAGGCATTTCGCAGCCCTGGAGGTCAACCGCGGCGAGGGATTTGTGGCTGGACGTGTTTGGCCCCTTGCCTTTTGCCCCCTGTTCGGACAACGGCCGCGCAAGTCTCCCTCCATTGATGATAGCCTAAGTTAATGAGTCCGCGAATCCGTTGATCAACTGCTCGTTGATCGCCTTCATCATACACCCTTGCACTTAATATATCGTCCATGGGCCCCAGGCTTTTTTGACAGACAACCCCGCATTCGTGCGGAAGTTGTGACTTAATAGCACACAAGACAATCGGATGCGGTCGCCAGCTTTGTCGCCGGTATCAGAGCTTTGAGGTGTCAGCCCAGATATGCACACACACACACACATTCACACAAACTTACTCGACCAAGACGAATTCAGAACGAATAAAATGTCAACAGTTTACCAAGGCCCCCAAAGGCTATGAAAACATGCCCAGTTGCTGGTGCGTGGTGGCGCGGCACGAAGGGCCTGATGGAAGCATACCACTGGCTTGCTAGTCGCCATAACGTAGCTGGCTAGCCCACCAACCAACAACTTCCACAGCCGCAAACGTCTCCTTGGCGGCTCCATTGAGCCGCAAAATAATAGCGGCTCAAAAGGATTACCGAGCCGCGTAACCCAGGCTCGGCGCTGGGCTCGGGCGAGTTACAAGTGTAACAGCGCCATGCAAGCTGGATACCATGGGACATTGGAGATACCCGCGCATGCCTTCCCGCAGCTAGCCAGCTCCAAGGCTGTGCAGCCGGCCGCACGCCGCTACAGCCACCGCCATGACGACGCCGGCTACACCACCACGCTACCGGTCCGCCCAGGCTCGCTGGGACCGTTCGAAGCCGCATGGACGTGCCTATGGTCCTGTCTGGTTGCCTTGCCGGCTTGTTGGCCGGATGGTTGATGGATTTCGTTAGCTAGTTTGCTGGCCGGCTGGCCGTGTCGTTGGCTAGAAGCTTCTTTCCCGCATCATCCGGGTTCAGTTCACTCAAGCGTGTGGTCCTCATCGCACTCGCCGTCCGCGGCCTCTGCATCCCAATCCCCAGGTCCTTCTTTGCGATTGCGTACCTGCGGCCCGATTAATAAGTGGCCCCGTGCGGGTCCGAGACATGACGGCACGGCAGATCGAATGTGAGGCAAGCACGGTTCACACAGCCCAGCTAGGGCCACCGATCAGGGTACGCCGGCAGAGGTAAAAACAGTGTGGAGACAGTGACAGGGAGAGAGAGAGAGGGGGTGAGAGACACATCAAGAGAGAAGGATGCTCTTCTGCGATGGCTCCAGCAGCCACATGTTAAGTCTGCTGCTGAAGTCCGCAAATAAATCCACAGCCAGCCCGTGTCTCTACCGCATCAGACGTCCATGAACGCTACGGCACCCATACGCATATGCACCCATACGGCACCCAGCACTCCCTGCGAGAACCCGGCAAACACTCCGCTTCACCCCGACCAATCTGACCTCATCGCAATGCCCATCCCTAACCAGCCCACCACGCCAGCCAATCCGCAACATCAGCCCATCATGCACACTTCCAATCACATAAGCTTATTAGCTCATCACCAACTCTAAGCTAACCCCTGACCCAAAACCACGAGGAAGTTACGTACCTGGCTGACGAAGCGCTCTAGCAAGTCGTGGAACAACTGCTCGTCAAACGCGGAAAAGAATAGCTCCTTCAAAGGGTGCTCATCAGGCAGTGCACACATATCCTGCATAGCGGCCGTACGGCATCAAGTACGGCAGGTGACCAGCAGTACGGTAGCAATCCGTGCTGCGTATTGCGGACAGTTTCTGTCTGTCATGACAGGCGAGCATGAGGGTGAGGTCAGATACGCCCCGGTTCCCAATCCCAAGCCTGTGTCTCGGATAACAGCCCTCGCACCGAAACAATTGTTGGATTGGAGCGGCGGCGAATGGAGCAGCATGTACAGCAATGGGTGTCCTTGTCTTCGTGCCATACCTTGCTGGTGACGTTCTTTTCCCGCATGATAGCAGAGAGCGCGTCATTGTATGCTGCTAGCGCCGCGACCTCGTCAATGCAGGCCACCTCCTCGGTGTCCCCTGACGAGACCCCTGCCTCCTCTTCCTCCGCTGCTTCGGTGTCGGCGCCCACGTTCCGCTGAGCCGCCGCCGCCGCCGCCGCCGCTACCACTCCCTTCGCCGCCCTGGCGTCTGCCTCGACCAGCGCATCGACGATGTTTTCCGCCAGCTCTGTGAGGGCTTCGCAGAGCTTGCGGTTGACATCTTCCATCACGGCCTGCACGGGCCAAGAGGCTTGAAAAGTGAAAACCGCCGTGCGCTGCCACGCGCCGCGCGGTGGCTGTGGTGCTTTTGCCGAGGCGAAGTCCGGCACAGAGGACAGAGCATGATGGCTAACAGGGTAGTAACACCCTGTCCTGCTAGACACCTTGTGTGCTGCTGGAGAATCCGTGGCTGCTGCTAGCGTTCACTCATACCTTCAATTTTCCGGCCATGTGATTCGCTGTGTTAAGTGTAACTACGGAGGTGAATGTGATAGGGGCCTGATTAGGACGACGATAGGGTGTGCGAAAACTCGGAGTTCCTGACCGGATCGATTTGTGTCGAGCAGTGCCTAGGGAAGTGCTTTTTCACACAAGGGAAGGCTCGTGTTGGCGCTGAGAGTAGGTTTGAGGAACGGGTTTAGAAGAAACCTGGTTGGTCGGTCGGTCGGTAAACCGGTTCCGTGCGCGTACCTCCCGGCGTAACGTTGGAGCACACAAGTCTCAAGCCTTAAGGCAAACAGCCTACTAGCACGTGTTTAAGTAAGGACGGAGCTGGTACTGCACCCACATGGGCCATGTGTGCCTCTTCCGTTCTTGCGGACTTGCGCGTTTGCTAGTCGCGAAGCCAATAGCGTGGCTGTCGGACCGGCGCAGAATGTACGGCACTACGAGCAGGAGTTACATCGCGAGGTTGGCCCCTTGAGCTGACTACTGGACTTACATCGTAGAAGGCGTTCAGTTGGGCGGTTGGACTTTGATATCAACGGGAAGGGAGGGCCCCCTGCCGTAAAGCCAGGCGTCTCAGAAAAACGATGCTTTGCCGAGATGTAGAATTATAGAATGCTGGCAGTGACAGTGACAGTTGCGGGGTACCTATTGATACTTGGCCGCTTGCAGAAAAGCAGCTGCACTTCGTTAAGCTGGTTACGGTAGACAAAGCGGGGCTAGCTGGCCCATTCAGCCAAATCCCAGTATTTAATAATTTGAAGAGAAGGATAGCTGACGCATACCTGCTTGTCCGGGTCCCTGTTGAAGTCATCAAAGAAGCCCGCGTCACTCTCATCGTTGTATGTCGCCATGCGCACCGCCTCAATCCAGTTTCTGCAAGGCCTATGCCGATGCAACGCTGCGCTGACTCTGGACGAGCAAGCGCGTTCCCGTTGCAATAACCGGTACGCTAACAACGAAGTGTTCCCTAAAGCCAGCTGTGCTGACTGCCCCGTGTGTACAACAGTAATACATCAATCTCAACTACTGCTGTTCTACCTTCCCAAAGTGCTTCAGTCTTCGCCGTACGGGGGTTGTCGTTGTAAACAGCCTGCGCACCCCTCTTCCTCCCTTGTAGACGGATTTTTTAGGAAACTGTGATCTAAAGATGAACTTTTGATATATTGTCCATACAGTTCTGGACTGTATCTACTTGTCCGTCTGCCCATCTTCTTGTGTTTCCGAGCACCGACACGTTTTCCCCGCACAAGTTACACACCTTTTGCCCCTGAAGCCAATCTATTGAGATGGAGCGTGTGATTGGACTTGTTAACAAGCTGCAACAGATATGCACATCGTTGGGCGACAACGCGCTTAGCCCGCAAAGCATTCTCTGGAACAAATTGCCAACTATTGTCGTTGTGGGCGGCCAGGTGCTTGATTTTGGTTTGGGCGGTATCCGGACAAGGCAGCTGGGAGCAGTTGGTATTGGAGCTAGGGCACACTACTATCTTTCGACTACGCTTAATGCAATATTTAATAATGATGCTTGGACTAAGTTTATTCTGATGCGAGGATGTGCTAAGGTCGCGGCTCACGTTTGGATCGTTCGCATCTATTCGTTCGCCTGCAGAGCTCGGGCAAATCGTCGGTGCTTGAGGCCGTTGTCGGCAGGGATTTCTTGCCGCGCGGCACTGGTATTGTCACGCGTCGCCCTCTGGTGCTCCAGCTTGTCAAAACTGACGACTCTAGTGCCCAGGACTATGGGGAGTTCTCACACGCGCCAGGTCGCAAGATTCCCAGCTTTGGTGAGCCATTTTGCCGCTGCCTTGTTGAGATGCGCATGAGTCCTGCATCTCTTATTATTAGACGACTGTGTTCCCGACACCGGGTAGTGTGTGTACTGACACCGTTGTGCGGGGTTGCGCGAATGGCCGGGTCACCTGGCATTAATTAATCTTTATGCCTTTCTGTTGTCTCAAATCCATGCGTGCAGAGGACATTCGCAAGGAGATCGAGGATGAAACCGAGAGGCACCTCCACAAGATGGGGGGCAACAAAGTGGTCTCTCCGGATCCAATCTACCTGACCGTCTACTCCAACAACGTTCCCAACCTAACCTTGGTAGACATGCCAGGTACCCGCCCCTTGCAAGCCGATCTGATCACATCTCGACAACACTGCGAAAGTACAACATATCGGAACACGACACTAAATAATATGGTTCAACTGCTACCATCCGAGCATGACTTTCCATGCGAAAATCGCAGTTGCAGTTTAGAGGCCTGCCTTTGCATCAGACATGGCGTGCACTCTTGTCACAGCAAGCGTGGGTCAGCGGTTCTTTCCATCCCTCCATTCACTCTTTCGTGGTTCGTCTTTCCCTCCGATGTCACCGCAGGCCTTACAAAGGTGCCCATCGACGGCCAGCCGCCGAGTATCGTGCAGGAGCTGGACGAAATGGCGCGCCAGTACGTGAAGTCCGACAACGCCATCATCCTAGCAGTGACACCCGCCAACGCAGATTTGGCGACCTCAGATGCGCTGCGCATGGCACGCGACGTGGACCCCAGCGGCGATCGCACCATTGGTGAGGTGGCATATAGAAGAGGGTCTCTTGCCGAATTTTTTAAAGGACATGTCGGATACAGGGCGGATGGGTTTCATTTCCCTCCTCATGTTACCGCCTGGGAAACGTATGGGCAGAGATTTAGGTAGCTACCACCCACCGGAAGGCTTGGCTGACATATTGCGATGGCGCTCTTTTTGGCAAATGGCATTTACCTAGACCGTGAAAATACGAAAGGCCCGTCGCTAAATGCACTGCTGCGGAGCCGGGGTTCCTCAACGCTGACCCACGAAGGGGGCACGAAGTGCACCACCAAAGTGCACTGGGGTTTCCATTAGTAATCCGCCGGTGCCAAGCTGCCGGGCCCCTAGGATAAGCATCCGTAACGTGTTAACACACAAGTAGAACGCATCAGGCAATGACCCAGATGGAACCTTGCCGCGATCGAGGCTTAACGGTCTGCCGTGCGGCGCACGGCCCGGCATGAACGTAGTAGTATGGGATAGTAGGGGAGCGACCACAGCCCAGGCCCGGGCCTAACGTGGCCCGGGCTCGGCTGTCCATTGATGGAGTGGCTGATGCGCTGGTTTTGCAATCACTGCCAATCTGGGCTAACCGGCGCATGCCTTGTTGTCTGATTGCCGGCATCGTCCCGGACCTGGGTCTGAAGGAGTTGTAACCCTTGACACCGATGCCCTTCTAGGCGTGCTGACGAAGGTGGATATCATGGACCGTGGCACGGATTGCCGCGACGTGCTGCTGGGAAGGACGCTGAAGCTCAAGCACGGCTGGGTGGCGGTGGTGAATCGTGGCCAAGCCGACATTAACAGCAGGGTGCGTGTTACCAAGGAACACGCACGGGGGATATCGTGGAGTGCCAGAGGCTGATATCCTTATGGGCACTTCCGCCCTACTAAAATTTCAAAGGAATTTTGTAGTGATTGCAGTTACCACGTTTCCGTTTTGGGGTGCTGGGGCAACTGGCTGTTCGATGTTATGCGGTTTTCCTGGCGGGCCGGACCCCGTGGCCATGGCATCTACGCCATGTCGATTTTGACCGTCAGCCAGTGTACACAGCCCCTGAATTGCCCAGTTGCAGAACCCATGAATCGTTTATCCAAATTCCAACATTAGCATGGCTCGTAGATAAGGGACACAGACACATTTTCAGTGGCTGTGCATGTTGAAGGATCCTGCCCTATATATCCTCTTACGTCGCCTGGCTGTGTTCGTCAAATGATATCTCTTTGTCCAGATTCCCTAGCACCCATTCCCAACGCATTTGCACACGCCGTTAATGTCTAACACACCCTTGTGTCGCCGCCGTTCAGGTATCCATGAAGGACGCACGTGCAAAAGAGCGTGAATTCTTCCAGGGCAAACCCGAGTATCAGGACCTGCAGAACACGGGCACGACCTTCCTTGCGGATAAATTGTCCAACCACCTGATTAATGAGATCATGAAGAGCCTTCCGTCCATCCAATCATACATCGATGATACCATCGCCAAGCTTACGAAAGAATTGCAGGTATGGATGGGCAGCAGTGTGGGATTTTGGCCCAAGATTGGGGTGTAGTGTGGGGTGTGAGTGGGGTGAGCGCACATGTTGGCAAAAGGACGATCGTGGTTGTTCCGGCAAGCGCCCGCAATGGCTGTCCCAGTCACCCGATCCAGCTCTTGCACGCTCGTCCAACCTAGCGCTCGATATCTCATAATCATAAAGAACGATTTGGCTAAGATATTCACTACTTCTCATTTCGGAGTTCCGGTCAGCTGAACCATGTTGCGTGATTGTAATAATTGTTGTAGTCTATTTGCCACGCGGCACGATTTCGAACGCTGCTCATGCCATCCCGCCGGCCTTTCCTCGCAGGCACTCGGCGGCGACGTGAGTCATAGCCGTGGCGCTATGCTGCACATGACATTGCAGCTATGCCAAAAACTGGAGCGGGCCTTCGAGCGTATTGTTGATGGCGGGAAGGACGGTAAGTGGGGGACTGCGGCAACCCACGGTTGTGGTTCTGGTATGGAGTAGGTTTACGGGGAGCGCGTGCCCTCGCGGCACAGGTCGCGCAGTCGAGCGAGCAGCGAGCCATTTGCAGGTGGAATACGCCAGCATCCTGAGGCATGGCCGTGCCAACCTCCGCAGCAACATCATTCCACTTAGTTTGGCAGAGCCTGTGACCGTCACGCCGTGGCCGCCACCGAGGATGGTAGTCATTCTCTACTGCGCTGGTGGGCCCCGTTAACGCAGGTGGCGAGAAGATCCTGGACGTGTTTGAGATCAAGCTCAAGGAGGCCATCAACAAGTTGCCTTTCCAGCGGATCCTGACGCTCAAAAACGTGCAGATGGTTGTGAACGAGGCGGATGGCTACCAGCCGCACATTATCGCGCCAGAGAACGGCTACCGCCGTCTCATTGAGGATGGGCTGTCGTTGCTGCGTGACCCTTCGCTCAACGCAGTCGAGCTGGTGTGTATGGGGTGGGCGTTCGGGTCGCGAAGGAGAGGTTTGGCAGGCGGAGTTTCCTACCCTTAAGGAGATTCCCCTATGTATTGGTTCTGCGTTCCAACGTTAGCGTTGTCCTGTCGTGGAACACCTATAGGAATGGAGTTGATTGGGATTGCGGTCAACGGGCGGTAAGAAGTTTTGTTTTATCAGATGTTTTTTCTTAAAATAATAAAAAGTATGGTGCATTTCCAAACCCAAAGGTAAAATTCCCAGCTAAAGGAAGGTATAAGCCCAAGGGAAGAGAGTATTTGTATGCACAAATTAATAAGCTTTGGCAATTCTCTAACGAGGTTTACGGTCGGAGTGCCTGCTCGAGGGGCCGCACGTTATGAGGGGGACTGGGTCAGGGAGATTTTAGTCCAAAATGTTGTGTGTGTGTGTCAACCTCTGGAGTTGCGTAAGTCTGATGTGACGGGCCCATACGAGCCCTGAGGAGGCCCAAGGGGCAGCCCGGACTCCTACAAACGGTGAACTGTCACGCTGCGCGTGCAGGTGCATCAAATCCTCAAGGCTATTGTGACCCTCGCGGTCAACACGCCGGACTGCCGAGACCTGCAGCGGTTCTTCAACTTGAAATCGGAGATTATCAACCACGCCGCCAACACGCTCGGTAGGTAGCAATCACAGGACTTTCTGGCTCCCAAGGTGCTTCATGATACATGGCAAGGCTAGGAACTGGGGTCAACCTAGCGGTATTTCGCAAAGGCGACCGTCGCTGCGACAGGTGCGCAATCCTTTTTCGTGCACTGCACCGATGTAGGCTTGGCACCGATGTTTATCCATACGCACCGCGAACAGCAGTGACAGCTGTCCATGCCGCCGCTTTTGCTTCAATGCTGTACCACGCCATGGCCGCATTACAGAGCGCCTCCGCAAGGATACCGACGCCATGGTTCGTACGCTTGTGGACATGGAGGCCTCTTACCTATCGGCCAGCTTCTTCCGTGAGATTGTGGCTGCGGAAAGCTACGCCTACGATCCCTCACGGCCACGGCCCGCGTTCTACACGCTCTCGGGAGAGAACCTGTGAGTTAGCCGACATGCGTTCCCTCGCTAGGTGCAGCCGATCGTGACCATAATGTAAACAAAATTGGCAGCGCGGAGCTGGGCTTACAAGACAAGTGTGACGATCATCAACGTGTAGTATTTGCAACTGTGCATTGCGCTCCCGGGAATACACCCAGCTATTCACCTGCATCCGGCAGGCCCGAGTGCATGTACAGCTGATACCACGATAGAGCTGATAACAGCTAATGCCACGGACTATCTTGCGTACCTCTCCTACGGCGTTCTGCAGCATGTGTATGGGAAAGCATCGGGCGCAGGCCACGGGGCCTTCAGAGCACCAATGGTTCGGTAACAGGCGCCTGATCTACCCTACAGCCCGACTGCCGGAGGAAAAGCGATGTCGTATCATCGTGGGGCAATACTTGCCGAGGTGGTGGGATTCGGCCATCAAGCCTCTCGGTCCTTACTTAGCTTTTATCTGTAGACGCTTGGGCCTTAATACCGTGAGCAGTTGTCCTTGGAAGTCCCGTGGGATGGGGAGGGGGTCCTTGCACCGTTGTTTGTACTTGAGTTTGAGGATGTCCCGCGACCCTATTTGACGTTCGTGCTAATCCTTTCGCTGATCACCGTTTACCCTATCGTACAGCTTCGAAAAGCGGTACGACAACCTGCCGGTCGCGGACGCGCACCTGCAGAAGATCAGCGACCACGTCTCCGCCTACCTGGCCATCGTCAAGGGGCAGATGCTGGCTACCGTGCCAAAGGCAATTGTGCATTGCATGGTTAGTTTCGGGCGGCCGTATGAAGACGTACAGTGTGACCGTAACCGAAAAGTTTCTCCAAAGCCGTGCCAATGGCAGGCAGATTCAGGGCCCTGGCGGTGGCGCCGAGAACGGGCGCCAATTAGGGCTGGGTCCAAAACGCAGGATGCGTTTTACGAGGATGTACATCCGGGTGTTGCTTTCCGTGCGCCCCGGAGGTGGTGTTTACACTCATTGCCGAGGTCTGCTCGGCGTCCTATAGCAGTCCTGGGCGTTGAGCGCTATTGGCACTGTTGCGATTCACTTTTCTGAATGTTCCCTTGTATGTGCACTACGTTTCACCGTTGTAGGTAATCCCGGCGAAGGGCGGCCTGCTCATGGCCCTCCAGGAGGATGTGGCGGGCAAGGAGGAGCCACAGCTGCGGCGCTTAATCAACGAGAGCGAGGAGATCGCCGAGCAGCGCGAGAGTGTTAAGAAGCGACTTACGTTGCTGCAGCGGGCATCCAAGGAAATCGCGGCTTTCATGTAGAGGATGTAGCAGTTAGGAGGATGAATACATGCGTATTAGGGTCGTTAGGTCTGTTTTGGACTTTCCGTTAGAAGACCGCAGGGGTTTGGAATGAGCGAAACTGTGAGGTAGCAGGCTGTATACTGTCTAGGTGTTCTGTGTGTACATCTCATGGCGTCGAAGGCGCAGTTTGTGATTGGTAGGGCGGTAGGTGCGGGCAGTAGGGCTTTCCTACCAACGGTCGTTTTTTGTCTAGCATGATCCGTCCAATGCTGACTGTGAATTTTTGACGTCTGCGCCAAGTTAGTGCAAGTCTATAGCAACATTTTACTTGGACTACCTGCGAGCCTTAGGCACGAGACTATTAACTCGTCTTTTCTGGGGTTGCAACATCTGTACTTTGCGTTTCTTTTACGCTGTAACTGCCACAAGAACTGAAAGCCCCTGAAAGCGCATGCTGTCCTCAGTCCCCGCCGTTGCGTAGTTAGGTGAAAGTTCAATGCTGGCCAAAGGCTTACGGCATACAGCGCTGACTAGTGTACCAAGGATTCTTTCCCAGACTCATTTCAGTATATACATACACATCAAATACGCTCGAAGGGAGTTGCCTCCCGCGCCTGCGAGACCGGTTGCAGGTGGCGTCGCTTCTTTCAGCACCTGTATGCACACAGGGATTTCGTTCTGGAAATCCTTGCTATCTACGGTGCGCATTTGAAATTATACATATATATTAATCTCCAGCTTAGACCTGCCCTTCACGTTAACGCAGCAACCTTTTGCGCAGATGTCCAACCGGCCCCTTCTGCAGTCCCGGGCGCAGTAAGTTTGGTCCATGTTTATGTATTAACGACGCTGGATGAACTGGAAGCCGCTACCGGATCAGCTTTGGCTGTGCCCAATCGTCTAGCCGCCGCAAATGTATGAAGTCGCTGTCCCTGCTTGCAGGTGCCTAAGGCGGTGCTGCCCGCCTGCTGCTCCTCGGAGTCGTTTGCATACGATTGCAGCGGCTGCGACTGTTGCTGGCGAGCGCCGGTACGCAAAATTTGTCGCGCTGCCATGTTTTCGTACCTCTTGGCCATAAAAGCTGTATGCATGATTCTGCAGGTCAAAGGCTAACATTGACTGGGACACCCTTGGCTTTGGTCTGAAGGATGTCGCAGGGGTGAGCACAGCCCTGGGTTGGGTCCGGTCTGTCTACCGGCGCCGACTAGTTCCCTTCACTGCAACCTCCCGGTCGCACCTCCATTGCGCGGAAACCCAAAGTGCTCTCTGGCGGACGGGCCATAATCCCTGAAAAACAATTTACGGCCCAAGCGCATGCGGAAATGCCGCCTATCCAGGCAGAACGCTTTTTGTGACGGTGCTTTTCCGGTACCAGGCAGACAGCCCATTCTCACCTCATTCCCACCCCCTCCCGCCCTCCCCCTCCTCAAAGTCAATGTACGTCTCGGAGTGGACGCAGGACAAGGGGTGGGACCAGGGCAAACTAGTGCCGTACGGCCCCATCACCATCATGCCCAGCGCTCAGGTGCTCAACTATGGGCAAGCCATCTTTGAGGGCATGAAGGCGCAGGAGAGCTCTAAGGGCCGTGTGGTGGTCTTCCGGCCGGACCAGAACGCAGCTCGCTTTAAGGCCGGCGCCGCTCGCATGAGCATGCCATCCGTGCCCGAGGAGCAGTTCGTGGAGGCCGTAAAGGCCACCGTGGCCGCAAACCTTGACTATGTGAGCAGTGGCCTCAGAGCTGGGTTACGGGCATATGCAGTTCAGGGCCCCTGGAAGGGTGGGCACTGAGGCCAGCGGCGCGGGGGGGGGGGGAAAGGGGGGACACCGCGTGCATTACTCGTGCTTTGCGCGCTTGTGTGTGTATATAGATATGTATATATGTGTGTGTGTGTGCGTATGAGCGGGTGATGTGCGGTAGGGAGAAGAGGGGCCTACACCGGCTACCGCGTCCGCCGCCGCCATTAGGCATCATCCTGGGCCCTATGGCGACCTATGTGCACACACGCACACACACATACGCACGCACGCACACATGTGTACCACATCTGTGTGAAATAGTAGCGACGGTGAGAGGACTGTGGACAGCGGCTGAGGTCAGGGGTTGGCCACCAGGGAGTCGTCATGTGTGTACGGGTCGTGGCTAAAGGGACGGGGGATGGACATCAGCACGGCGGCCTCAGGCCCCAGCGCGGCCCCGAGCTTGAGGCGTCAGGGGTCAGCGGCAGTTGGGGATCAGCGTTCGCTGCAGGGATCAGCCCAGTCGGTGAAGAGGAGGTGATGGCCGCCGTTTGCCAGGAACTTGCCGTGGATTGGGTTATATATTTGTATGTATGTATGTGCGCGTGTGTGTGTGTGTGTTTCTGGGCACCGGCCCTCCTTGTCCAGGTTCCCCCCATCGGCAAGGGCTCGCTGTACCTTCGGCCGCTGCTGCTGGGTACTGGACCCATCCTGGGTCTGGGCCCCGCGCCGTCCTACACCTTTACCATCTTTGCAGCGGCTGTGGGCGCCTACTTCAAGGTAGGAGAGGGTCCTGGTCCTCCTGTCTGTCTCTTGTGGAAGGAGAGGAACGCGAGGAGGTCTGGAAAAGGTTTGGAGGACCTTGCCCTGCGGCGCTGGGTGCGGGGCGTGGGCCGGATGTCTGATGCTGCTAAGCCCACGGCAGAACCCCGCCTAGGGCACAGCAGGGCAGAGGCAGGGCAGCACATCCCTCTGCAGGCCTGGTCGACTAGCCTCGTCACTCCTTGCTAGCAGCTGAACGAACACGGACCTTGAAGAAGCTTAGTGCTGCTCTGGGGCTAATCTGAATTTTTGGAGTTGGCTCCCAGTTACGTTTCTAGTTCGTTTAAGCGCACCACCGCCCCTGCTGTCTCTGCTGCATCTTACACGATTACACGGGCGGCCTGCTCCAAACCTCTCCTCAACACTGCACGCCATCATCATCAATTTCTCCCCGTTCTCTCCCCCCCTGTGTGCAGGGCGGCCAGCTGACCCCCATCGACCTCCTCGTGGAGGAGCGCTTCCACCGGGCGGCACCGGGCGGCATGGGCGGCACCAAAGCCGCGGGAAACTACTCTCCGGTAAGTGGAGAACAACTGGGTGAGGAGGAGAGGAAGCTGCGGTCTGGATGCAGTCGGCCCTCATCCAGTCCGATGCGGTCGGGGGCATAGTGCAGTGTAGATATGTGTCCCACATATGCCATGTCGGGAGGGAGGGAGGGAGGGAAGGAGGGAAGGAGGGAGGGAACGAGGGAAGAAGGGAGGGAAGGAGGGAGGGAGGGAAGGAGGGAGGGTCTTCCAGCAAGGGAAGGGAGGGGAGGGTCTCTTCTGCCGAAAATGGCCCACCATTCTCTTCCTTGCGAACAAACCGCGCATACCCGATGTACTTCTTCACCTGCTGGCAGCGGCACGTCACGCGGCAGACGCCATACTGCCATACATCGTCATCTCACATCACAAGCCTCACCCCTTCGCCTTCTATCATCCTCTTGTTTCCCCTCCTCCTCCCCCCCCTCCTCCCCCCCCTCCTCCTCTCCCATCCCACTCCCACTCCCCAGGTGTTGGTGACGCAACTGGAGGCCAAGAAGAACGGCTTCGCTGACGTTGTGAGTGGATACATGAGGGGCACGTACACATGGGGGTGCATGGATTGTTGAGCTTCTGAAGGCGGGTGGGCCATTGAGGACGGCGAGAAGCTGCATGTTTCGCGGCGGCTCGTCATTCGCGGCATGTCGTTCGAAAGAGTACGGAAAGAGCCAGGCTGTGCACCCCAGCGGGGGCGGGTAGTGCGTCTAGGTTGGCCAAAGCTATAGCTTTCGTTTGGTTCATCTTGTAGGTTGGAGATGTGTGCACGTCTGATCGCCACATGGGGCGGTTCAAAAAAGGGGGAAGGGGGGGGAGCAATTACATGCAGGTCAGGAAGCAAGAGGAATTTTTGCTCCGGCTTCCTCCCTCCCAGTCCTTTTAGTCCTCTCATACCGAACTGGAAAAGGGGGAGAGGTCGTGTGGAAGTAGTGGACTTAATAGCTAGCGAGGCAGGATGTAGATTTCGGGGATGATGAATGCGGAGCTAAGACACGGCGGAAAGCTAAAACCGACGAGGTGGTGGGAACATGCAAGGAGATGTGTTACGTGCTGTACGGTGCACACGCGCACCAGTGCGTACGGTGCACACGCGCACCAGTGCGTACGGTGCACACGCGCACCAGTGCGTACGGTGCACACGCGCACCAGTGCGTACGGTGCACACGCGCACCAGTGCGTACGGTGCACACGCGCACCAGTGCGTACGGTGCACACGCGCACCAGTGCGTACGGTGCACACGCGCACCAGTGCGTACGGTGCACACGCGCACCAGTGCGTACGGTGCACACGCGCACCAGTGCGTACGGTGCACACGCGCACCAGTGCGTACGGTGCACACGCGCACCAGTGCGTACGGTGCACACGCGCACCAGTGCGTACGGTGCACACGCGCACCAGTGCGTACGGTGCACACGCGCACCAGTGCGTACGGTGCACACGCGCACCAGTGCGTACGGTGCACACGCGCACCAGTGCGTACGGTGCACACGCGCACCAGTGCGTACGGTGCACACGCGCACCAGTGCGTACGGTGCACACGCGCACCAGTGCGTACGGTGCACACGCGCACCAGTGCGTACGGTGCACACGCGCACCAGTGCGTACGGTGCACACGCGCACCAGTGCGTACGGTGCACACGCGCACCAGTGCGTACGGTGCACACGCGCACCAGTGCGTACGGTGCACACGCGCACCAGTGCGTACGGTGCACACGCGCACCAGTGCGTACAGTGCACACGCGCACCAGTGCGTACGGTGCACACGCGCACCAGTGCGTACGGTGCACACGCGCACCAGTGCGTACGGTGCACACGCGCACCAGTGCGTACGGTGCACACGCGCACCAGTGCGTACGGTGCACACGCGCACCAGTGCGTACGGTGCACACGCGCACCAGTGCGTACGGTGCACACGCGCACCAGTGCGTACGGTGCACACGCGCTCTTGTTCATCGTGAGGAGGAAGGACATCAGCCATGATGATGATGATGATGATGATGATAACAGTGACGACCTCAGAAAGTGCACTCCCATGCGGGTGCGTGGTACACGTCATGACGGTGATCTCACTCAGGGTGGTGTGCTGTGCTACCAGGTCTACCTGGACGCCAAGACGGACACGTACCTGGAGGAGGTCTCTTCGTGCAACATCTTTGTGGTCAAGGGCCGCACGATAAAGACGCCGCCATTGCAGGTATGGGGGTGTGGGTGGGGATGTCTATGCGTAAGTATGTGTGGGTGTGTGTGTACACCAGTATCTTTTTCTCCCCAACAGACAGACAGACAGACAGACCTGGACTAGTATCCGTGTCTATCTCTGGTATATCTGCTTCATTCGCCAGTGGTTCGTCTTACCCGCAGATACAGATCGCTTTCCGTCCCGATCCCGCCCGGTGTAAATTCCTCCACTGCTCTTCTGCCCACTGGTTTTTTTATTGCCCCGGTCTTCTACGCGGTCACCACCTGCTCCGCTAACGCTGGTGGTGTTAACTGCTGCTGCTGCTGCTGCTGCTGTTGCTTCCAGGGCACCATCCTGCCAGGCGTCACCCGTAGATCGATTGTCGAGTTGGCCCGTAGCCGGGGGTACGATGTGCATGAGGAGCCCGTGACAGTGCACGAGGCCATGGAGGTGGGTGACGTGCTCAGGCTTCTCTCTCTGTGTATATGTGTGTTTGTGTGTCTCTCCCCCCCGCCCCCGAGGTCACAGTCGTCACAGTCGCCACGGACGCCTTTCGGTCAGTTTTTACGTTTGCTACTCTCTTGCCCTGGCAGCAGCTTCAATCGTGTGTGGTTCGTCTTTTCCCCCCGCCCCCCCCCCCCCCACACAGCAGCTTCACTCGTTCGTGGTTCGTCTTCCCCCCCCCCCACACACACACACGCACCACTCGCCAGTGGTTCGTCTTAACTCCCCACCCTCCCCCCACACACAACACTCACACACTCACTCTCACGAACAGCTTTAGATGATCCGTATTAGGACGACTTCCCCCGTAGTTTATAAATATAGTTGTGTAATTGGAGCCCCTGCCCATTCCTTCCACGACGCCCAGCTTTACAATTTCGTGCCAAGCGTGTTTCCTGCTGCACATCGCATATTGCCTGACGGAAAGCCCTCTGTCTTTCGCTGTTGAGCCTCCCTCCCCCCCCCCCCGCCCCTTCAGCTTCACTCGTTTGTGGTTCGTCCCCCCCTCCCGCCCCCCCCACGATCACCTCCAGGCCGACGAGGTGTTCACCACCGGCACGGCCGTGGTGGTCTCCTCGGTGGGCTCCATGACGTACCGCGGCCAGCGCAAGCAGTACACGGAGCCCGGCCAGGCGGGCAAGGTGGCGCTGGAAATGTACGCCAACCTCACCGACATCCAGACTGAGCGTGCTGAAGACAAATTTGGCTGGGTAGTGCCCATCAACTAGTAGGTGGTGGGCATGTTGGGCATGTGTGATGTGGGATCGCGAGCGGTCGGGGGGGGGACCGCAGGCGCAAAGGTAGTGCAGGCGGGAAGGCAGGCAGCCTTAGGGCGAGAGTACACATGCCCGTGGGAGCCCAAGCATGCAGAGGGCTCTTCCCCCGCCTCGAGGAAGGGGGCCCGGAGGTGCTTTCGGAGCGGCGGCTGTGAGGTGTGGGGGCGGGAAAGGCTGCATGGCTGTACGGCAAGTCCGGAGAGGGTGCATCAATGGCACAACAACAACAGGCGGCTCGGCAGTACGGTCGCCTACCACCTTCACACGTCTCTGGTCGCCTTATAGAGCCTCTGGTCCACCTGACTCGCGGCATGTAGATGACGGCCTTTTCAACAGTCCTACGGGCCGCGAGTAGGGCCCACTCGGCGGATCTGGGAGTGGTCCCTGCTGGCCCGCTTTCCGGCCCTGTGGGGGAGTGCTGATGTGTGAAAAAGAGTGGGACCGGGGGTGCGGGCGGCAACAAGAGGTGTGGGGGCTCCCCAGGCCATGATGTGGGGGACTTACTGGGCAGGTTCGGCAGGCTAGCTGGTGTGGCTGTAGGTGGCCGTGTTACGGGGGGGGGGGAACCCTAGGGAACGGAGTGGAGGAGGGCGGGGTGTTTGGGAGGAGGAGGAGGAGGAGCTGTCTCTGGCATTGCTGTTTGGCAATAACGTGATGTCACTCACCGCTACTGCTGCTTCATATGGTGCAAGAGTACTACATAGTAACAGAGCACTATTCGCACTACGTTTAATTTGTGGTGCCGTTGTGGTGGTGGTTGGCCATCGGTGAAGGTTTGTATGCTGCAGTGCGAGATGATGCAGATCGTACGTATGGTATGGATCATACGTGTGGGGGAGGGAACCAGTTTGTCGTTTTGGCTTCGTGGGAGAAGAGAAGAGCCACCTGGTGCTGCTGCTGCTGCTGCTGCTGCTGCTGCTGCTGCTGCTGTTGGCAGCATCCTCCCGGCGGCCCCATGCGGGGGAGTATATTTCGCTGTGCTGCGGAGCAATAGGAGGGGTCCTCCACGTGGCTAGGGTTTGTGCTATATGGAGACGGACCGTGGTGAGGGGGAGGAGGATTATTGTGGGCAAGGCAACGTTGCTTGGGCTGCAGCAGAAGAGAGCTGGTCAACCATCGCCGGGGCCAAACCAAAGTCTTCCCCTAAAGGGGAACCCCTTCGGGCCCACCTGCTCGGGCAGCGGTCATCCTTCTGGCTGCGTGGCTGGGTGGGTGGGAGGCGGAGAGGACTTCCGTCAGGGTGTGGTGTAGAGAGCGATGGTGCTGCGTGGTGCACTGTGCTGTGTGCACTCACGACACGTCTCCTGGCCGAGCTGGACATGCCAGCTGGTTTTCACAGCGACGAAAGAAACAAGGGCTCTCCTGTTGTGTTTCGGCCATCGTAAGAGAGGTTGTAAGCGGCAACAGTGTTTCCTGGGGACAGAGGGGAGCGCAAGCGGGGCGGCCCTGCATTTGCTGGGGGTTGGTGGAGGTGACATCTGCTGATTATATTGCCGGCGAATTCATGCAGCGTCCTCGGTGTGTGTGTGTGTGTGTGTCATGCGTCACCGGCCATGATGCCAGCGGCGTGCGTATCGTCGTGTCTTATTATAGGTTTTCTGCTATGAGATGGGCGGTGCAGTGGTAAGGCCACAGTGGTATGGATTGAGCACGACAGTAATGCAGAAGCTGAAAATGGTATTTCAAGGTAGCGCGTGCTTTCTCGCCACCAGGTCCTACGTTCGAAGTATGCAGCGCTTAATGTTTTGGATTATGCAGAGTGTAATAGCCAGAGCTCTGGTAGTAGCCCTTGCTGCCACAACTGGCAACTTCTGTCGGCCACAACCATGACTGTTATAGCGGTGTGGTGGTGGCGGCAGTGGTGCCAAACAATCGGCACGGGTGCGCTCTCCCTGTCGGTGTTTGTACGACGCAATCATGTGATTTGCAAGAGGATCTTGCGGTTAAGGATCTGCTCAATATGATAACAAACAACGCCTTACTTGGGTATCGATCTCAGGTGCATGAGGGTGGATGGTTATGTTACACGTAAGAGATATCCTAGTTTTGGAATTTGGAGAACGATAGCTCTTCATCATCTCTCGGTTAAACGTTGTCTGTGCAGATGAGAGAAATGTATCAAGTTACTGACGACACATGACGCGACACAAAATGGCGAAAAGGCCCATTCAGGTGTCGGAAAGGAAACCCAACAACCTGGCACTAGCATGCATAGCTAAACTCGTACGGTCCCCCACCGCATCAGATTTGTGTACACAAAGCACAAATCGTAAAAAAATCCTTCGTTGTCCCACTGCTATAGCCTTTCAGCGCTCGGCGGCGCAAGCGAATGCCGCCGCACCCTGCCGTCAAGTCGCCATCATCTGTACCCTGTACCCTGAACGAAAAAAAGATCCTGTGCACACACCAACACACACTGACACACCAACACGGATGCATGCGATCACCAGACAGAGGTATACATATACCAAAGGGTGCGTATAGCTGGCGGTGGTCAGTCATTCGCAACAGCACTGCACGCAAACTGTTCTTGCCTCACGTGGTCACTAATAAATTGAAGGAAGAAGACAAGTAAAGAAGGAAAAAAGTCAAGAAGGAAAAGAGAAGATGACAATGCGCATGCAAGTCATGTAATTTTTTGTGAAGACATATGCCCAAGCTCCGAATGGATCACCACCATACTCCTACTTCCGCATACTTTCATCATCATAAAAGGAAAGAGTCATTACGCGCAATAATCCTGCAGCCAAACCGGCACTAGAAAATAAAAAAGACATGACAGCCACCCAGCGTCGCAGCGTCGTCCCACCGGGCCGCACTGCCTCCAACCACACACCCGCTTCCTCACCACGTCTACCCTGCACCCCCACGCCAGAGGCAATAAAAGGTTTCCTTGCAAAATCCAAGGAAGAGTTGAAAGCATGAACAAGACCTGGTACAATGCAAAGACGAGTAAGAGGACATGGCCTGCATAGCTTCCTCGTAACGTGTCACCGGCTCTCCAGCCAAAACTACTTCTACAAATAATGTTTTTGCTTGTTAACCTGTTTTTCCCCAGTTCGTCAAGCAACGAACCGGACAGACGACAAAAATGGAGGAGCTGGAAGCAGCCTTGCTGTTCCTGCTGCTGCCCCTAGCGCTGCGCGCTCCTGCTGGTGCTCTGCACACAATACTACTTCTGCTCTGAACCCGAGCCCTACATAGCCCTTTCTCCGCATAAAGGCCTACAGTCACACACGTGTCCTACTACCATTTTGCCTCCCTGATACTCCAAAAATAATCTCCAGATAATACGCTCCGTAGTGAAGCCCCCCGGATGAAGATAAACTCGAGCCAACAGCCACCATCACAACACCGTTCTGTTTCAACCCGAAGGAAACCAAAGAAAATAGAAAATCATACGCATAGCACAAAACACAGAGCCCCGGGTAATCACAAGCCGCTCGTAATCACTACTGCCAGCGTGTGGCCATTGAAACTACCGTAATGCTAAGAAATGGAAATCGCGCTTTTTGCTGTTTCATTTTGGGCTTTGTGCAGCTTGTAAGGTTGCAGCCTGCCCTGCCCTGCTGTGTAGCCTGTCCTATCCTACACTGGGCTGCAGTCAAACCACCCCGTCTCACACACATATACACACCGCACACACACAAAACAAAAAATACTGGAGCGGGCGTGGTGTGATCCGGCACACCACGCGTTTGCGCAATCATCATCATAAACCTCCTCCGCCTCCTCCTCCTCATCAACATCATGGGGCCCCACTCTCATGCCCATGCTGATAACACGCACACTGTGAAAAAGAGGCCAACGCAAAATCCTGTGTGTATGTGTGTGTTTCGCCCCCCCAGGCGCTCTATCCCCCCCAGGCGCTCTATCCCCCTCGTCTCTGTCGCCCCTTTGTTCACAAACTCAAAGAAACCCCCTCCAAGAGCTAACGGTGACGAAACTCCAAACAACGCGACACAATGCGCGAATCCAAACAACCACTCTCATGACAACCTCCTCTCCGGAGCATTGGCAGCTGGCACCCCGCATCGGGAAGTGAAAAAGGAAACAGAAAAAAGGGAAACGTGTCATTATGGGGAATGCCGTCCCACGCACCCCAGCGCCCTCCCCCCAAGGGCACACAGTCTCATTCTCCCCCTTTCCGTTCCTCTATTTCCGGCGACTATTTGCTGTTCGCCAAACAAACAGCACAATGACCTCGAAATGACCAGGAGAGAAGAAGACGGTCTTCTGTACGCTCCTCTTGCTCATCATCATCATCATTACCACGACAAAAAAGATAAGTGTCAAATGTCGTTCCCTCAAAACTCACCCAACACAACAAAAAGGACTGAGATACAAGACATCGTGACATGTTCACGACACTGCACGGCCCCCGTCCTCTCCTTCCCTGCGCTAGGCGCCCAAGAGCATGCCACCCTCGCAGGACAGTGCAGTGCAGCTACTATCCAACTCCGCCATCTACGAGAGTTATATTAGCGGCCCCCACCGGGCCATGCCGCCTTGCAGCCCAAGGACTGCATTGACACAGGACTCACAGCCACAGCCACAGAATTCACAGCCCTATTGTGCACACGTAACAAGAGCCGCTCCTACGCTCGCCGATACGCCTCAAGAGTGAGCCGCCTACAGCCACAGACAGCCGCCCTACAGCCGCCCCACTCTGAGGGAGGCGCTACGGCACTCCCCTTCCCTCCCCTCCTCGGCCATCCTGGACAAACAAACACGCGCCCCACAACCCACTCCCACGCCTCACTCCCACGCGTCGGCAAGCTGTCCTAAGCCCTGCTGCAGTGGCGAGCACAGCCGAACAACAAAATGACTTCCACCACCACCACCATCAACACATCCTAACCTACCCATCTATATATGTGTGTGTGTGTGGAGAGGGGGGTCTACTACCAAAGTACTTCCGAAACGCGGCAGTGAACGACAGCTCCCCTCGTCATCCTTCCCTTCAGCACTCCTAGCAACCGCAACCGCAAATTTGACGCATACACACACGTACATGCATACATACACGTACATACATACATACATACATAGCAGTAAATACATTGGCATGTGGACACATGAGGGGTACGTACATACATACATACATACACAACAGTGGTACTCGCAATGCAGAGAGCCCGCACTACACGCGCCCGCGGGAAAATATCGAAGAAGAAGAAGTAGAAGAATAAGAAGGCTGTTCGAGAGCTAAGGGAAAAAAGAAAAAAGTTCTGCTCTCTATCTTTGCTTGTGTACATCTGTGTACGTGCGTAATGGATCGATGTCTGTACGTGTGTGAGTGTGCATGTGTACATAGAAACATCGGGGTAAAGGCGCATGCATGCCTAAATCGCTCGTTAGAAGTAGAATGATAGCTTTTTAAGAAGCTTAACCAAACATCCAACAGCCGGAGGGGCTCCCCGTCCCCCCGCACACTCCTCCTTTAACTCCCTCTACACACGCACACAAACACACCCCATCATTCTATCTCACCCCTTTGGGCGTCTTAGACCACTCTCCCTCCCAGACTTTCAGTCCCACGGCGACTGGTCCAGCCTCACCACCACCACCACCACCACCACCAGCATCCGCATCTGTCCCAGTTGTAACCGCTGTCAATACATCTCTGCCTGCTAAACATCTTTTTCCCAACCACCACCCAACAAAAATCACACAATTCACATCCCTTACCATCGCATCATCAATCACCACCTGTCCAACCATCCTTACATCTCCACCCATCCAACCCGCAAACCAACCAACCAACCAACCAACGAACCTGCCAAGCAACCGAAACGGACCAACATTTCAGCCTACCCCCTTTCCCCTGTGCTACTCCTGCTACTCCTACTGCTGTTGCTTTGAGCGTCACAGCATTAATTAACCCATCACCATCACCAGTGCCACATTCCTGTTGAGTTAACAAAAGTCAGTTCATCAGTTACTGCCAGAGGAATCGCCCCCAGCCCCGACAAACACGCGCAAAATCGCCCGCTGGACACCTTCTGATGGCTTCTGATGGCTTCTGAAATGCGACGACGGTCGCACGATGGGCCCCAACGATGAAGATTGCTGCTGCTGCTGTTGCTGCTGTTGCTGCTGCCGCTGCTGCTGCTGCTGCCGTACCGTAGGGTACGGCACTTTTTCGCTTGAACTTCGGACCGATTGGGGTTCCGTGCTCGGAGTTCCCCCGTCGTGGCTGTGGCTCTTGCCCCGAGCTCGCGACACCGCTGAGAGGGCCTTCAGTAGACTAATATTGCTAACGTTGTTGTGATTGTTGTCATTGTTGATGATGTTATGTTGCCGTGGTGTGTCGGATTGCGGCGTGGCGGTGTTGTCGCTACACGGAGAGCAGCTGCTGCTGCTGCTGCTGTTGTTGTTAACTGCCGTGCCGGCGGCAGCAGCAGACTCCGCAGTGGAGGGGGGGAATGAACAACGGGATTGTTGATTCTGATTCTGTTGAGGACGGCGCTCCCGGGCATGATGCCGGGGGACGTCCCCTTCCAAGTCACCACCACGGCTACCATTACCCGACGCCGCCATCGCCGTGAGCATCAGATTACTTGAAACGAAAACGCCGGCTTTGTGAGGCACCGGCGTCATCGGCGGCGACGAAGACGTGGGGTGAAGCGTTGCGAGCTGTTGCTGCGACTCAAAGGGCCTCAAGCACCTGTCCGAATCCAGCGCACTCATACACGGCGATGTCGGCGATAGCGGGGAGGAAGCGGGTGACGGCAACAGCCCCGACCCCGGAGTGATGGAGTACAGCCTGATCAAAGCAGGGGAGGCTTCATCGCAGGCGACAGCTGCCCCTCCCGCTGACATGCCGTACAACACGGTACGGCTGCTGTTGCTGCTGCCGCCGCCGCCAGCGGCCAGTAGCCAGTCATGTTGGAGCGCTTGTCTCACGGTCATGCGTTCAAAAGGGCGTATGCGCAGTAGCCGGGAGAGCAGGTCAAGAAGCTGGTCACTCATGGGCTCGCCTCGAGCTCCCACCGTTGATCCGCACGCCGCAAAGCCCGCCGCTGCCAAAAACGGCGGCAACAAAGACAACGACGGTTGTGTTTGCGGCATCATCGCCTCGTCATAAGATCCTCCCGGCCCTCCTGCCGCCGTACAGTTGCTTGTTCTGCTGCCTGAGCTAAAGCGAGGCTCGACGCCGCTGCTGCCGTCTGTCGAGGCTACAGCGGCGGCCGCGGCCGCGACGGCGGCGGCCGCCGCCGCCGCCGACGGCACCCGCGAATTACCGGTGCCCCGAATCACGTCTGGCAGTTTGCCGTACCACAGGGACGCCAACGTCGCGCCCAAGCTCCAAAGGTCCTGCACACGCTGGTCGTACCCTTTGGCTAGTACGGCAAGCTGGGCACCGGCATTGCGGCGGCACTCCGGCGGTTGGAACTGCGCCGTACCCGCCGCCACAAAGCCCGTCATACAGCCGTCGGCACAGCCAAAGTCCGCCACCACAACGCGGCCGTCGGGCATTCTCAAAACGTTGGCTGGCTTGATGTCTGGGCGGGGGAACGGGGGGGGAAGGGGCCAAGGGGGGGAGTTATGTGCCCGGGTACTGTCACTGGGCGGGTGGGCCTTATGTTGAAGTCAGCGTCGTCGATGGATGGGTGAGTGCAAACTGGACAGCAAGCTGGCTGTAGGTAGGTAGCTGTAAAAAGGGGGATTACGACGATGCACAGACGATTGACGAAAAGAAAGCAACACACCAAAGCTGTTTACGGGAGAAAATTAGACACTAGTAGTACATTAGTGTAGTATAATTTAACATTTGCCAGCATTCGGAGAGCAAGCCGCCGGCATGCAACGGCGGGGGAGGAAGAAGGAAGGAGGAGGGGGGAGCGGGGAAAGGGGGGAATGCTCGGGGGACGTCTGGTCCGGGACAGACTGCCAGAAGCGGAGCCAGCAGCTTCTGCTCATTCTTTGCTAATTTTTCCAATATTTATTTAAGATTTTTATCCAGTATTTTTTGCTTGTTCGTCCGGCCCGTCTGTCCACCTATAATTGAAACAACCGCAAATTGACAGACATATCGACAAACATACCGACGCGCACAGCGCACGAGTTGCACCCGTGCACCGGCACACACATCGTATACACATACACACACACACACACGGACACAAAAACAGACTGACACGCGGTATAAAGCTGAGGATAGTGCTTTCTTCCTCCAATTATCGCCTTTTAAAACTGGTTTAGTAAAACTACTTTTTATGAAATAACAATAAATTTCTATCGCTAATGCTAATATGGTTTCTACTACTGGATCATCCCCCTACCAGTACACCACCAACTTGTCAACTCCGCTTTCCCTCTCCTTTCTCCCCCTTCCTCCCCCTTCCCTCTCCCCTCATGCCCATCCATCCCTTTCTACCCGCTCACCGAATCCTGTCTCTTCCAGCCCTCTCTTCCCACCCCCTGCCCCCTGACTCCCTTTGTCGTCCTCTCTTTTTTTCCCCCTTCCCTACCTCTGTGAGCCAAGTTACTGGAATGCAGATGGTCCAATCCTAGCAGGATTTGTCTGGCGATATCCCGGAGCTCGTCTTCACTGTAGCCGGTGCCTTCTTGCCGCATGGCCTCAGCCTCCTCCCACAAGTCCCGTTCCGCAGCTGGCAGGACGAGGTAGTAGTGGCGGCTGCCGCGAACACAGGCGAGCGCGGGGAGAAGGTGCGGGTGCTGAAGCTGGACTTGGAGGCGCGCCTCGCGTGCGGCGCGGCACACAAAGTGGGTGACGAGCGTCCGCTTGATGCAAACATCCAGACCGCCGCAGACGGGAAGGCGCTTGATGTAGATGAGGACGGGTGGCGTGAAGGCGCCCTGCCCAGCGTCATCGACACGTTCGTAAAGGATGTGGGCGCCGCGAGGCCGCAGGCAGGCGGTGCCGCGCATAGCAAGCATCTCATGGAGCGCGGTTGGGCAAGTAGATGGATTGACCTCCAGAGATGAAACTGTTACCCTTGCGGGCCGGAACAGGCAAGAGGCCCATCGCAGAGGCATGGTGCGGACCACCGGAAGTGCTGGATGGCAATATTCTGAAGACTGCTGATTACTCGGCAATCATTTAGTCAAGGGAGCTGTGTAAACATCTCGCGCAGTAACTTGCTACTCGGTGCAAGCGTTGCGCTTTTACAACACGCCACCAATTTTTCAAGCTGTTGAGTCTCCACGTCCTTAAACCTGTGGCGTTTTGTGTTGAGGTAGCAATGAAGCACTAATGAAAGACTTCAACGACAAGTGTCACAACACAAAAAATGAAGGTGACATCTCCTTATGCTGTTGTGGAGCCGACCCTGAGCAGGAAGTTGCGTGTGACTATTGCACACTTTGCAACAGGGGAGGTGAACCGGTTCGTCCTGTCCTCCACCCTGTGAGCCGTACAATATGTCAGCCCATTGAGGGGGCCCGTGAGCTTGCACATATCGTCATAGAAATTAAGAAATGATTGCCTAGACCTTGTGAAAATTGCGAAGACGTATCACGGCTTTGTCCTTGGTGATGGTTTTTAACCAAACAAACCGCCTTTCCAACTCCCCTTCGCCTATTATCCTTGCAAACAGCATTCCTAGCCCTATTATATGGGCGAATTAAAATTTTCTATTGCTTCTAAAGTTTAACTGTGCCTGATAGCAGGCTTTTGGCTGGCCAGAACGTAAGACAAGCCTCCGCAAGGGCTGATCCAGTAGCGTTTTAGCATGGCACAGCATCTGCACCAGGGTAACACAATCAATCAAGGAGCAGTTGTTTCCTTGCAATTTGACTTTCGAAGCTATCCAACCAAAGGGTGGGCGATGTCAACAAGCGAACGCTAAATGAACTTGCTTAGTGTAGCTAAGATGAAAAACCTCCGTCCTTAGCAAGCTTTGCACCTCTTTCCGAAGGATACCTTTGACGGTTGGTTTATCGAACGTTACGGCCTTAGGAGACATTCAAATTCAGAGGTTACTAGCTTATTACCACGCGTAGCCATCGCATCTGGTGCTAATAGTCCCTTTTGCAAGGCCTGCCACAGGCAAGCGTACGTTGCCGCGACGCCAGGGCATCTACGAATCTGCGAGCACACACGTTTCGGGCCTTATAAGGCAGTGGGATACGCAAGGCACCACTCTTCAGTAACAGACGATTGCCCTAAAACGACATAATACCTAACGGGTTAGTGGGCGGTCGAGTGGGTCGAGGGAGGGGCCGCAGGTTTATGTAGGTAAAAGGCCATGCATGAATGATGCAGAAGGGCGCCGGGTGCACCCCATGCAGGGGACATAGAAAAAACTGCGTCTCACACTAGTCCTGCTGTGTCATGAGTTCATGGCGCTTAGTGTACAACACTCGAGCGAGATTCGCTACTCGGTTTCGCGGTACCTAGTGTGGAACTACCTGCTGACGTAATAATTAGTAAAAGTAACTGCTTTGCATGACTGCGGAGAAAAACATGCTGCCCGTGCAGGTATTTACGTATACGTCTGCATGTATGTACAATGCACAGGAACAGATGCCTCAGTGCAAACAGTCCTCAGTCAAAACAGCCTCAGTCAAAACACGACGACATCGAAATATCAAGTTCTTGGAGCTGTGTGCGGCAATTGATGCAAGTGCCGATACAACACACTATGCACCAACGGAAATGCCGCAGGACACAATCGATCTCAAACGATATCTAGGCGTGAGCTACGCCCCATAAACCCCGGTGTAAGACCTCCAAAGTGGTTTGGCTCCTGCTGATGACAATAATGATGATGTGGCGCATTTGTTGATGCGCAGTGTTAGAAATAAAGATGCGCAGTGGAAGTACAGCATGGGAGTCAACACGTCAGCAACTTACATACATGCACTTACCTATGCCAGGTTATTGGAGTTCATAAGTTGTGACTAGTGATGAGTGATGTGTTTTTTGCTCGAAAGGCCAGGATCTCGAACACTTCGTGTCGTTGGCAAGCAGTACAGCAATGTGCGTGGCCGTCATCACAGCGCACACCGCGTTGAATGGAAGGATTGCCGTGTGGTGCGCCCCCCCCCACCCCCCCACCGCTCACTCCCACAGCGGGGCCCCCCACCCCCCCGCCACCCGTTGCACCGCCTGCTCCAAAAGCGCGCGCCACCAGCTCCAGCCGCATCCCATGGCCCATCCTATGTACAGAACGTGCATGCCGTTCGCGTTCACGTAGCTGATGTCTACCCCGTTTTCCCCCGATGGGGCCGATGGGGCCGATCGGGGCCGCTTGTCCCCGGGCGGGAGACCTGAAATGTCGTCTCCTCCAAAATGCTCTCGCGGTCGTGGCAACGCGTCCTCGGAGGCCTGGAGGAGAAGCCTCCTGTCCGGGTGGAACATAATGGGTCCCGGCTGTGGCCGTGCGCGCTGCTCCTCTTGCTGTACTGGGACGCTGAAAAAGATCCCGTAGCTTAGGCCATGCTTCGATGACCGCCAGTAGTTCAGGTAGCCCAGCGAGGAGTTGCCAGAGTAGCGGCAAAACTTGTAGGATCTGATGCATCACCTCAGAAAACGGTGCCAAACAGTTCTTGATTTCAGCTATATATTATTATTTCTGAGATCCTCCATTTCGCCGCCCGGGCAGTTGTTTCCTGCCGTTCGCGTATCATTTGTACGTTCTGTTCTTGTGCTTTGGAGAGAAATGAGAAATCCTTTGTCCTTATTTGCGGTGGTTTTTTGTTTTGCCATACACGCAGTCACTGCAGCATCGCTGGGCTATACTTGCAGGGCTACACTTGCCGTTGAAACTGGCCTGTTTAGCTGCGGTAAGCCCTGTCCAGCTTCTGCATCTCTTGCTCCAACCCAGAGAGACTAACTGTAAAAAGGTCAGCAGGTCGAACCCGACCAGAAGCAAGGGGGAAGCGAAAAGGGATGAGAGGCTGTAAGAACTCTGAGATGGCCTGCAAGAAGGTCTCCGAGACCCAGACATCCCGGCCCTACAAGAGAATGGATACTGCAGCTCCATTATCCATATACCCGGGGCAGTCCTCCACTGTCTCCGCCAACCCCCTCTCCACTTGTACCCAAAAAGCCAGCAGCAGCACCAGCAGCAGCCATCCTTCATATGCAACACGATGTCTGTCGGCACGCAGCAGCACCAGCAGCAGCACCAGCAGCACCAGCAGCACCAGCAGCAGCACCAGCAGCACCAGCAGCAGCAGGAGGGGGTGGGCCCTGCATGAGGCGTTCGTCCTGGTGATGTGCTCACGCCATCCCCATCTGGCGCCATGTCACAAATTTTGCAACCTATGCAGCGTGGGACCGCTTACTGGGGGGCCCCCCCCCCTTGTAGTCGCCTTGGATGGGACCTGTTTCCTGCCTCCCAGCTTGTTGCCTCCCATCAGAACCCTTTCTTACATACCTACCTCTCTCCCTACCTCCCTACCTCTTTCCCTGCCTCCCTACCTCTTTCCCTATCTCCCTACCTCCTTCGAGAGCTATTTGAGGTTCAGCTCAGCTGAGGGTTATGCATCCCCTAGGACAGCAGCTGGCGGCAGGGGGACTGCTCCTGTTGCTTGGGGTAGGTTCTGTTGGTTACCGCTGGGATGCGCAGACTCTAACAGAGCAAGCCACCCGTGTTTTCTAGCACCGCAAGAGCGCGCCGCGTGCGTGCAGTGTATTCACCGTCTGGACGAACCCCCCGGGCCTGATGTAGGGGGTTCGTGGGGGGTTTCAAGCCCTGTGCATGTCAGCACCGTGATCCAGCATGTTCTTGCACTTCGTCGGTTGTCTTGTGTATTTTCAATTCTGCCATGAGGAAGCTGCCATGCCGGAGGGAGCTCCTGCCCTGGCGATCGTGTCCAGTCTTGGGGGAATGGCGCATTTCTATACATCAGTTGCATACACGGCTCGTGGGCAGCTTTGCCGGCATGCTGGTGATATCAAGCACAGTATAAGACTTTCAGATGGTTTACATAATTTTAAGTTTTTACATAAACATCAATTGTGCGTCAATTTGTCAATGGTGCGCTGTGGCAGGTGCGAGTAGGGAGAAGCACGTCAGCAGTGGCTGACTATACGATGTCTTACTGTACAATGACGATACCGTTGACATACTGCAAATAAATCCCAAATGTAGTCTCGGTTAGAAAGATTTTTATGGCCCCTACAATACGGGTTATTGAGTTTCGGAGTTTGAACACAAGGGGTCGGGGCACCGTCGGGGTCCCTTACTAAGCAAGAGATGTATCTTGGCAGACACGAAACGCATATATGTTATAATTTTTTATTTATTTCAGCGTGTCTAATATAAGGCTTCCGCTAACCACGTGGGGTCGATGGGATTCCTTGAGCGTTTCTTTGGCCCTTGTGTTGGCATCCCAAAGCGCAATGAACAGGATGCAGTGAAACAAAATTTGCAGCTGCATGGGTTTGGAAAAGATGCGGAGGGCAAAGACGCCACGCCGGGCCAGCTTTGGGACCTCTGGGGTCAGTTTTCGCACCACCAAAGCCACATTAATAGTCCATCATGTATGGCTAGAGGAGGAAGCAGCGATTACGCTGGAATCCTGGGACACCCTGGTACGTTCATTTCCAAATAATGATGCACGTTGCCTGGTCTTGGCAAGGAGTGGCGGCATAATGCCGTTTTGAGTATTATCTTTTGTTTGATGGAACAGATCCGCTGGTGCTTTTGGAGTTCATTGGCGCCGACGAGCCCGTCGATGGGCTTACCTTGCTGGAACGATTCAGGTTGTCACAGCAACTCCTGCTGAATATAAATTTTTGCGGTGTGCTGCCTCACAACTCGTTGGACTGGTGCAGTAAACACCTACACGCAGCCTACAGGAATTGTCGGGCAGTCAGGTTAGTTCAAGGCGAGTTCGCCGGTCAGCACAGATGACAAAATTGTGCGTCGTGCCTATTTTGTGAATTTGGGGAACTAGACGTGCTAGATGCCGGAGAGTACCACCAAGCTCATGTGGCCGACTGAAAATGCGAAGAACGGGCAACCTGGTCTTCTTGCAAGGATTTTAGCAATTAGGCCATCAGACGTAGCGGCGCCACGAGCTTC